TAGAAGCAGGCCTCTATCCCACTTGGCACCATTGTTGTGGTGTTGAAAATTGTTAAGCCTTTGTTTTCTATAAATAGAATTTAGTTACCTATTACCTAATATTTACTTTTTAATGTTCTTAGTTTGCTCAGGAGTACTCTTTAATGGAATAAATTTAATCGTCAGGATGACACCACCCTTTAAATGCAAAGGGAAATAAAACACAAATGTTGAATAAATTTAAATCAACCAAATTTTTAATGAACTAAGCTTTTATTTACACTTAACTAAAAGTTACTTAAAACTAAGAAGTTGACAAAATGTACTTTAATATAAACTGTCTGTAATTAACCAAAAATATGAGAATAAAAATAAACTAGTGAATAAAAGATTTAAACCAGTTGAAAGTTGTTTAAACTGTTATAAATGAAAAGTATGAAAAATAACCTTAATGATTCTGTGCTGTTAGACTCATAAATCTGAAGAGTAGCAAGCCCTGTTTTAATCTATATGAACAAAATAAAGATCTAATAATTCAAGATGGCTGCCACTTAAAACAAAGAAAAGATATTAATTAATCTAAATTAATTCTGTCAAAAATAATTACTTATATTACTTACAAATTTAACAAAAATATTTCAGTGAATTTTAGATAATCTCTAAGGTTCATTTAAATGCCAAAGTGCCTAAAATAAATTAAATAATTGATTAACCTTAGAGAGCTTTTAGAGATGTTACTTTTCCAAAAATTAGCAGCAGAATGACAAAATTGTCTGAGATGCTTGTATAAATGTATTTCTGAATCCCAGAGGGAGCTAGCATCTACCTACAGGTGGCACTGTATGTAACAACTTATCTGATTGGTCAAATTACAGCCAACCAGAATTTACTTAACAAATGCTCTAGGCTTATCAGTTCTTTAGGGGGCAGGGGACCTAAAAATGAAAAATTTTGTATTTCAGTGTGACCAGAAACACAATTCCAAATATTTCAAAATCTGTTTCACAGGCAGATAACCAGTTGCACAGCATTATTCAATGATATATGACATACATTGAAGAAAATAATAGTTTGCATGCATTGCTCCTTCAAAAAATGACTGACAGCAATTTATATTTACCCCCACCCAGCCAAAATCACACCTAAAATATACCAATATAGGCAATCTTCATGAAGGTGCAGCATACTCCAGAATCCGCCCGATTCCTTTAAAAATATCAGTAACACGCAGTGCAAGCTATGGCATTTTCAGAAATGACAAATAAAGTGTCTGTCATACGTTTAGATTTTTCACAAAATTTATCTGAAATTTCTTACTTGTTTGGCGCCAACTGTCAAAGCTTGATTTTTAACTTTTTCACCTCCATTCGGAGTGTCAGAAATACATACAAAGCTACCAAAATGCTTAGTTTCGGGTAAAAACCCAAAAATATATCTCATTTCCTACACACAAACAAGAAAGAATTACAATGACAGAGAAATATCAGAAGTTATCAGTACCTTCAAAACACCATGTCTGAGTTATTAAAAAATTTGACCGGGGCCATCATTCGAATATGTCCCCTGCCCCCTTAAGATTTTTTATGTGATTCGCATTAAAGCGTTTCCTTTTATTTTCTTAAAATATGGAGTATTTCGCATTAAAACGTTAACTTCGAAAAGTGAATACTGCGGTTACTTTGTATTTAATCAAATATTTAAAAAAGACCCTATTTCAGGGGAAGTAACTAGTACAATGACCATGCCTGTTATATGATTTACTTAATATCAAGTGCCAGGAACCTGTGAGATGGTTATTTTTCTGTATTCCACCTTTATTTAAATACCATAAAGTATTTTCAGAGTATTTAAAGTCTTTTGGAAGGAGATTATAGCAAGAAAAACAATATAACAGCCACAATTAATGTCCCAAAATGAATTTCACAGGAAACCAGACCCCATTCATTCTTGCATACACCTAAAAGTGCAGTAAAGATACCACTGTTGACTTATATGACATTATGTACCTTTGTAACAATTAAAAGTGCTCAATTATGCATTATTATGTCAATTTGCACAATATAAAACTGTTAAATCTGGATAAATTTGCACATTCTGTGAAGTACAGTGTTTGCCAAAATTCCAAATTTTTATTACCTCCCTTGACTTGACAGTCTACTTACTCTACATAACTTGATAAATCCTACCAGTCACTTCAAATTTTGACTAACAAATGTAGAAGGAATGTTTATGGGCACATTTGGGTCAATTCCAACACATTTTATAAATTTGAAAATTTCCTTAAGGGGCAGGGGACCTAAAAATGAAAAATTTTGTATTTCAGTGTGACCAGAAAACACAATTCCAAATATTTCAAAATCTGTTTCACAGGCAGATAACCAGTTGCACAGCATTATTCAATGATATATGACATACATTGAAGAAAATAATAGTTTGCATGCATTGCTCCTTCAAAAAATGACTGACAGCAATTTATATTTACCCCCACCCAGCCAAAATCACACCTAAAATATACCAATATAGGCAATCTTCATGAAGGTGCAGCATACTCCAGAATCCGCCCGATTCCTTTAAAAATATCAGTAACATGCAGTGCAAGCTATGGCATTTTCAGAAATGACAAATAAAGTGTCTGTCATACGTTTAGATTTTTCACAAAATTTATCTGAAATTTCTTACTTGTTTGGCGCCAACTGTCAAAGCTTGATTTTTAACTTTTTCACCTCCATTCGGAGAGTCAGAAATACATACAAAGCTACCAAAATGCTTAGTTTCGGGTAAAAACCCAAAAATATATCTCATTTCCTACACACAAACAAGAAAGAATTACAATGACAGAGAAATATCAGAAGTTATCAGTACCTTCAAAACACCATGTCTGAGTTATTAAAAAATTTGACCGGGGCCATCATTCGAATATGTCCCCTGCCCCCTTTACATAACTAGTCTAAAATAGATTATGATTCATGGAAAAGTTTAACATGAAACAATATTGACATTTTCTATAAAAGATGATAATAATGACTAAGTAACACAAAGTAATCAAAATAATCAAAATACTAATAAGAAACTAAACATATTTACAAACATATATAATGCTAAATCAGTAACTTGTATCTCACTTTAAAGTTTAAGGATAATATAAGTAAAAGTAGAACCATTCTCTATATGTTGTATATAAAGAGTCTTATGCCATGCTAAGTTACTGTTAATGAGTGTATCAATAAGTTCTACAAACTATAATCAACATTAAACTAATGAATGATAAGAATGAAATGTCTGTAAAACAATACAATATTCAATATGATTAAACTTTAAAATAAACTTAAATCTAAGTTAAAGTTTAAACCCTAAATATTTCTTGAAAAATATTCCTTAAGATTATACATGTTAAACTTCTTGAGTAATATTATGCAATATTATATAATAATTATGTAAGCTGTTGTAAGTGGAATCCAACTTTACAACACATTCAAGACTTGGATAGGTGTAGACGGGCACTAAAACATACATTTAACATAAACAAAACATACATCAATTGTTAACATATAAAAGCACTTTCAATACTGAAAACAATGTACATGTAGGTGCAAGCATATTTCATTATAATTATAAATGAAAAATAAGTAATATCTATATCATATAAAAAATCTTTACCGTATTTACATGTAGTATGGATGAAATCTTTATTTCACCTCTCTTAATAAATGCATGTACTCACCAAAAAGTTTGTACACATATGCCTATTATAAATGGTTATCATAAATGCATATGACATAATTTACCTGCTATGTTATGTAATAGATAGCAATATAAAAGCTGAAAGGAGGAGAGGTAGCCACTGAATATTCTAAAACTATAAAATATTGACTGTTACTACCTTAGCTTATTGTCAAATTTTATAACATTTGTAAAATATCATCTTATGAACTTTGTGACCCCTTTGGATTAATTGTACAGCTACTGTGCTTGAATAACATGTATGAAAACTTTATAAATTTTTTTACAAAGAAACATAATGTTAGGGATAAATAGACACCCATGATAATACATTGTTTTTTGTTGGGTTTAACATCGCACCAACACAGTATAGGTCATACAGCGGCTGTCCAGCTTTACCGGTGGAGAAAGACCTCAGGTGCTCCCCTGTATATTATTACAGGCACAAACAGGCATCTGTGTAGAACCACCAACGTTCTGTAAGTTAACTTGATAGCTTTCTCAAATAAAGAATCCGAAGACGCTCAAACATACAGTGGTGAGAGGCAAGTGGTTTGAAGTCCTTTACATAACAATCATCCAAGTACGCCCCTTATTACACATGTTTTGTTTTGTTTGTTTGTTTCATTTTTACGCCTTTTCCCAACAGTATTTCAGTCATATAGGCGGGTAATTTCCTAACTATCGTTCCTGGAGAGTTACACCAGTACTAGACTACCTTTCTCCATGCTAAACTACCAAAGTATCTCCCGGGGATCGAACCCATTATTATTCATAACGGTTGTTTATTATGTTTTATATATGCAATCTTTATTTGTCTTTAACATATCACCATTTATAAAGCAGATTCATGGTTTCACTATGTCTACATGTATTTATGTGTTTGTAAAAACATGATCGCTAGAAAAACTTAATATTAACTTAAATGTTCTGAAATACCTTATGTTGCTCTATACAATTTAGAAATAGTGCCTTTATGGAAAAACTTGTATTGTAAATTGATATTAATATTATGTTTTTTTGTAACATTCTTGTCCGCACCTGCCATTCTTCTGTATCAAAAACCAATTCAGCCTGAATTATTCAGGTCAAAAATTCCTTTACAAGAGCTGTCGGTAGGGCAGCATGCTCAACTACACTCAGTGCTTGATAGTAAAACAAGAGGCTCGATAAACATTTTTGCTTCAGTAGTTTTGTTGACACCAACTTGCATGCAAAAAACTTAACCACAGTTTGACACCAATGCCACGGTGAATACAACAGTTCTCCCTTTACTTCAAATAGTCGAGCAAAAAACTTACTTCTGTTCTTCTTTAATATCAACAAGCTGATTCTTTTTGACGAAGGACTTTAGTTCTGAAATAATACATAACAATGTCAGATTTTTATGCTAATATGATTGACCTCAGGCTACTGATTGTAATTTCTTAGTAAAAACATCTTGTTTTGATTGATAGTCTTATCCTGGCATAAAAATGTTTCGGTTGTTTTATTTTGTTATATGTTTTTAAGTCACTTCTTTATAACAATGTAAAAGTCATATAGGAACTTTCAAGTCTTACTGACAGTGGAAGAGATAAGATGTCCCTCAGAGATACTGTATTATTTCAGTCACCTCAGTAAAATCATCAAGATTCCATATGTTAGCTGGATAGTTTTATCAAATGAGAGACAGTTTTAAAAAAATCCTCAACAGCCCCAGGCACTGTGTAATAAGATGAAACAATTCAGGTAAAATACATGTACATGCATAAAATATTTAGAAGAAAAAAAGTTTTAATAAATCAAAAACAAGAAAAGATAAAAGAAAACAAACCTTGTAAGGTAAACTTGTATTCATGAAAGAGCCATTTGGGAGTGTTTTCAGTCCAAATAATTTTCTTCTTGTAGAAAATCCCACGTTTTTGTGCAACTGTATTTATATGTGTGGAACACAAAAGTAACCTCTGACCTTGAATACATCGTGAAAATACCTACAACAGATTGACATGTATAAGGAATCTTAATTTCACCCACAAAGAAGAGAACTAAAATAACCGATAATACATGTTTAATGATGTAGGTCTGTATTTTAGTTATTCAGATCATCATACTTAGCCCACAGTTATATAAAGCTGTGAATCATCAATAATCTAGCAGTTTTGAATTCTACATGAATGTTTGTATTAACCACAGCACTATTTTATAAAGCTGTGATTGATTCATTAACTGTTGCACTAATTCTTAATTGGCTTCATTGATAAATACATGTACATGTAGTACACTCAATCACAGACACTTGGATAGATGCAACCCTTCTTCACATTTTGTAAATTAAAAACTGAAGCAAATGTGCTTTTGCAAACAGGTCACAATATTTATCTTTCACATTTAGTAAGACATGGTTCAATGTCTAAATCATACAAGTATATAAGTTTTAGCAGAACTAAATTAAGTTGACAAAAAAAAACAAGAACAAAAAACAAAAACATGTTTGGTAAACAAAAAATGCCCCTGGTGCAGATACTTGTAACAATTTTTCAAAAAAGGCTTACTGGTTATGGACAAAAAATTGTACAGTCATGATGTTTTGCTATAGTATTGTGAAAAATGTAAGTTGGCATGTTACTACTACCGGTAATTGATGAAGTTGAAAAAATATCAACTTACAAATAAAAATATATCAAATATATATAAATGCATGACCTTGACCTTGAACCCAGTGACACCAAATTCCACTCAAACTTTAAGGACCAGCTATGGTATATTTCTTTTAAATATGAGAAATTGGTAAAAAAAATTCAAAGACTGTATAAGAAAATGTGTAAAAAACCTATTGTTAGCACATGTGACCTTGAATTTGTGACTCCCAACACTGGATCTTCCAAGGTATGCTCCTTCTGAATATTAAAAGTATCATCAATAGATAAAGGCTGTTAGATGAAGCAAAAAGATTAAGTAAATGTTTACAAATCTATTTTGGCACCCCTGACCTTGACTCACTGACACCTAATTCAATCCAAAGGAAGGAGACCATGAAGTTATCTTTTTACCAAATGTGAAAGATATCATATTGATTAATAAATAAAGGCTGTATTGGCAAAAGTGTATAAATCTAGTTTTAATACTGGTGACCTTGACTAAACTGATCCCTAAATCCTTCCAAAGGCAGAGGATTTCTCAATTTATGTTCCTACCAGATACAAAAGACATCTGCCATAAGAACAAGAGCTCATGTGTTGCCTCATGATAGCCATTCACATTTTTCAGCTACTGTGTAGCAGGAAACACAAAAATCATTAACATGGCAAAACACATTTTTTATTCAAGGGCTATAACTCAAATTATTCAACCTTAAAACCCATTTAATATAACTTATGCAGGTACTTGGGGCACCTATCAATTCTGTAAAATTTCATTTGTATTATAAGAGCAGAGGTCCTAAATTTTTTTTTAAAAATCATTCAAGGGCCATAACTCTGACAAAACCATTGAACCTTAAAATACCAATAATATGAACAACTAGACATAGTACTGATCATTCCTGTAAAGTATGGATGAAATTGCACCAGCAGTTTCTTAGAAGTAGTCCTGACAAGCTTCTGTATGGCTGGCAACACAAAAAACAAAAACTGTTTATTCAAGGACCATAACTCAGCCAAAAATCATTCAAGTGGAAAACCTGTGGAATGTGCGTAAGTATTTACCGGTAAGCTACCAATGATGAATCAATCCTGTAAAGTTTTATAGAAATTGCATTAGTGGTATAAGAGGACTAGTCCGGACAAACTTTAAAAATAAAAATTATTAAAAGCCCATAACTATGACAAAAATCATTGAACCAAAAAATGCTGATGATATGCATAACCTGACATTGTACTGAATATTCTGGTAGTTTGGATGAATTGCACCAGTAGTTTTTGAGGAGTATTCCAGATAAGTTTTGTGACAGACAATGTAGAAGTGATCCCTACTAGGGCCGTCATCAGAAATCGCGATATTGATGTATCACCGATTCTCAAGGGTCGATATCGATGCAAAATTTTGAAAATCGATTTAATCATTCCAACAGAATTAAGTGTCAAATAGCAATGAATAAAATATAAGAACATTTCAAATTAAATTCCAAGTTTGTCATTTGCAATTGAAATTTTAATCTCCAACCTAAAGCAAAACAGCAGCCATTAATGTTTACATTGTTAGCTAATGCGTCAAATCTAATGACATCAGGTCAAAAATTACCAAATTTAGAAATTGAAAATTCTGGCAATAAATGGCATGTATGGTGCGATAAATTTAGAGTCCTAAATCTGTAGACGACAATGATAATTAATAATCAGCAGGCTTTGAACTTTGCACAGCAACATGGCAGCTACATGTACGTCAGAAATTGCCGAGTTTGTTTGAAAAGGTTAAAAAAAGAGCGATTTATGGGAAAAATTTGGAGTTGAAATTACTTTGTAAAGTTTGCCATCTAATTATGCCATACAGAGGCAATACCACAAATATAAGGTCACATATTGACAGAAACGTCAGAAAACATGGGTCTGTGTCTGACAGACGGTGAGTTCAGTTCCCGTGAGTTATAAATAATTCTTAGTTGTAAAATTTTTTCAGGATTATAAATAACAAGAGGGTTTCATCTGGTTTTACTGTATATTTTTTTAAAACCATGCATACATGTGTAACAAACAAAACTAGACATTTTGAATAATTTATTCCAGTGTGTTTGCATATCCAAATTTGTTCCCATATCCAAATTTGTATCATCGATATTTACCCTTCTTTATATCGATACAAAAATTTCTATCAATGACAGCCCTAATCCCTAATGTACATGTCGCCCATCGAGTCACTTGCAGCTAAAGGCAATAGAAGATGCAACATTTAAAAAATATGAAATAAAGAAAGAAAATGTGATCTTGACATCAGGCCGAACTGGACTGTAATTTGTGTCAGTCAGATTTCATAAAAGCTTGGTCAAGTGTTTGGGGAGTGAAGTGCCTCCAAAAAATGACTTTGGGGTGAAATGTCAGGGGGGTGAACCGTCTAAACCTTGGGAAGGGGTTCTAAAGTTTAGGGGTATTTTTGAGGGAAAATGCATGACATAGGTTTTACAAGGGATAAAAGGGGGGTAAATATGGATAACTGTTTCATGATCTTTTATACCTGATGGGCCAGTGCCATTTCCACTATTTTGCTTTTGGTAGTGGTTAGTGACCTTGAACTTTATAATATTGTTTATATCAAAGAAATATTGTAACAGCAGTTCAGTAATTTTCTTTAAAAATAAAATACAAGTTTATATTTGTGATGGAAATCATCATTGTAACATACATTTTAAGTTGTCAATGATATTTGATCTTTATCTTCGTTCAAGTAAAAAGTTAAGTTGAGTTGTACCTCCTTTGATGTAAGTGGCCCTACTTTCAGTTTGGATGTTTTCTTGAAAACGTGCATCAACAAATAAGTTAGAAATGGTGCGGTATAAGTGCAGGTAACAACCGAATATTTATATAAATGATTAACTGTTATATGTTGTTTAAAAAATCTTGGCTAATTGTTGTTGTTTTTTTTCACCGAAGCATTGCAGTTTTAAAATTACAATTAACTGGTGATAGTGTTACAACATTCGCCCCAATCACGATTGCAAACAGGACGTTTCGGCCCCAAACCAAATCGGCCCCAGTGGAAAAATCGGCCCCTGGACGTTTCGGCCCTTTTCCACAAGACGTTTCGGCCCTACTATATAGTACATTGCTTAATTGTTTAACAACAATTAATTTAATTACAATTAAACAATTATGACACTTTAATTCTTTAAAAAATTTAAAAAAGGATTTCCCAAAAATTAATATATTGCACCTATTACACCTATAATTATATACTGATTTAATGATTGATTAACCAGATTATACACCAATTCAAAAGAAAGATCAGTGTAATGTTTTTAAAAAAACTAAAATAGTTGTAACACATGTTATTATAGGAATCGATATTTTTTTTAAATGACGGTGTAAAGTATAAATCATATCAATTTATTAATTAGTTAAATCAAACAATGTTGACAGTGACAAAATAATTATAGATAATATGGCTTCTGTTTTCTTTTCATTGTAAAATTACATGACCGAATGTTTCGATTTTCACGTGCATGAACAACTAACTTTCCTTACCTGATAATTAAATGTGTTAGATTTTTCAATATCAAGGAAGTAATTACGAGTAGCTATTCATTGTGAGATATTTATAAACAATGAAATTCATTGTGAGATATTTATAAACAATGAAGTTAACATTAAATGCAACAAGTATCTAAACTTTGATGGTTTTGGTTAAGATTTAATCTTACGTAAAATATATAAGAGGTATCATAATTCTTTCATATATGGTTGTAATATAAAGTCAAGGTATTTGGAAATTGGCGTTCCACTTTATGAAAATTGTCATTTATGATTATTATAACTATGAGTTTTTAATATACCGGTTTAAAACACAGTAATTATTCTGGGGCCGATTTGGTAAAGGGCCGAAACGTCTTGGGTAATTTGGGGCCGATACGTCTTGGGGCCGAAACGTCTCGAAATCTCACGATTCGCCCCACTTTTTTATGATGAAACAGATAAACAAACTGACATTTACTGAAGTACAGCATCATTTATTTCTTCACGTAAATGGTTTCTATCTCAATTCTGTTGTTAGATCATGATTATGTAAGGTATGTCATTCAAAGTGTTTAATAGTTCTGGCTTCCATAACTTTATATGTCGCTTTTATTTTGACGTTGTGCGACAGTAAAGTTATGGGTCAACCCTATTTGCAAAGGCTACCAGAATTTTGGCAGTTCGTGAGCAATCCATAAAAACCTCTTAAAATCACATTTATTAATCAAATTTGGGTCAAATAAAAATACCTTTTGATAAACAAATCAATTTTGAATCAATTCATGTTTTGTTTTTAAATGAAACTTCAATGACATCGTGTAACAGGGAAATATGTAGAGAATGTTTACCAATATGGAGCCTGCTTTCAAATGAAATCTCGCGGGACTTCAAGTTTTGGGAATTCTAGCATCTATTTTTAGTAACGGAGCATACACTATTTTTAGTAAGTGTACGATTTTAAATAAAAACAAACACATAATTTATGAATCATCACTCAAAACAATATAAATCCAACATGTTTTTCGTACAATGTCTGTTATTGAATAAATACACCGTTATTCATAATTGCAAAAGCCATGTTTTCAATTAAAAATAGCATTTTGGTCACGTGTCACCAAATGTCATGCAAAGGTATCCGAACCTAAATTCTCGCTAGTCGCAGCAATGGCGGCGAATTTTATGAAATGTGAACCCACTGATAAACTTTGAAGCATTATTTCATCATTTTAATGTTCTGTGTTCAAAAATATAGACTGAAGTGTCCCAAATATATCTAACTACCTGTGTTAAAATAGCTTTTGTCCAGATCAAGCAAATTTATTGAATTACAGCATGACATAAATATGTCACAGTTCTGGTTGACTTTCGATACAGGATTGGCTTCAGCGAACAGGTCTAGCAGTACTATAAAACCTGTTCGCTGAAAATTCTTTAGCTGAGTGTTTAATAATATCACAGGTGTAACTGTTCTGTGCTGTGATAATTGGTCACTCCCCTCCCCTTACCCACTCTACCACCCTCCTATCTGTCCCATACAATGTTAACTGCAGTATTTTTAATTTGGAATTTGTTTAGATATTTGAAATATGCTTTTAGTTCAATTTCCTTCATTTCCAGCTTAAAAAAAAACCAACTGATACTGTACTATATATTTTAGAAAAGGTATATATGCAACTCGCTGCTCATTTTTCAGCACTCTTACATTGTACTCATCTTAATTCAACAATTTTTTCACCAATTTTCTAAATCTTGGTACCAAATGGTCAGGAATTGATTACTCTTAAAGAAAATACAGCTGCTATCAAAATAATTACAAGTAATAAGTAGATATGTAATCTTTAAAGTCAACGCAAGTGTACATCAAGAGAGATGTGACCACAGGGTTTTTGTGAAAATGACCAGACTGAATGAATAGTTTTTAAATATTTTGTATTGACTTTGTGCATTTAAATATGATAGAATTAAATAATTATTTGTAATAATTGTTCAATCAAATCATAATATGAAAGTTACTATAACAAAGCTTTTTTCCAATATGTCAAATAATGAAAGTAACTGGTGCCCCAGATTGTTCCCCTTTATTTTGGTATGGAGTATTTTCATTGGTCTGAGGTTTTCACATGACCAATCTTAATAAAATCTTGCGGGGACGTAGACTTACATGTATTTGCGAGTTTAAATCGCTAGAAAGTTAAAAAGTGTTATTTAAAAGAGGATAAAAGAAGATTAGAATATTGAAAAATTATAAAAATGGGGGGCTGGACACCTAGAGTGTTTTATGCTAGCTGCACTGAACCGGCTGTAGGGTAGAGAGTATGGCAACTGCAGTGGGTACTAAGGTGGTGGGTTACTAGAAAATTCCCTAAACTTGAAATTCGACAATATGCTTTATATATCAACTGAAAAGTTTCTTAATTTTGTCTATTATAAATGCATGGCAAGTTGCCGCACAAATTATAAAACTATATGAAAGAGATATTTCTAAAAACAATATACATGTTCTGTTTGCTATTAAATAAATGTAGAAACTCATGTCTCTTGATAAATTATAATTAAATTATCATGCCTGATATTTATCCTTTAAGTGGTATAATATTATTAATTATTTAATATAATTATTGTGTACTACCATTTAACTAGTCCCCAATGAACGTATTGTGAAAAATGGCCATTTTCACTGAAAAGCCTCCTCTTACAAGTTCAAACTGCTATGAAACTATGAAAAATGCTTCAATACTAATCAAACTTGGCACAAATGTTGACTGGACCATTGCCTTTGTAACAACATGTTCAGTCTTAAATTTCCTGTTACCATGGCAACGAGGGGACATCTCAAAATTGCCAAAAATCACTATGTTGCCTCGATTTTTTCCAGTGCTGCAACTTCACAAGGGATTGAGATAGAGTCAAAGGCTTTTCAGCGTTGGTTACACGTTCCCTTATGATCGACCTGGGGTCTCTCACAAGTCCAAAATTTTCTTGGCGATGAGAGGGACTCCGCCCCCCTTCAAACCCCCTTCTGCCAACCCCCTGATGTATCTTTTGGATGGGGGGCAGCGCCGAAAAAGTGCTCACTGTTTTAAGCAACATCTCTCAAATGAAAACATGTGTTTCCGGCCCAAATAGGACATTTTTTCACTATTTCAGGCCTAAAGAAGGGGGGGGGGGGTCGAAAGTGCGTTGTTTCGCGTATATATGAGGTAAAGGGTTAACAGTAATTGTTTAAATGGTAAAGCACATGTAGCTGTTACAATATTCATTATTATAATGATGCCTTAAATTTAAAAAAGGGGGAATATAGAACTTTTGTAGAATAACTTTGTTTAAGAAATATTTTCTTTGTTTAAATAAGTGAACAGAATTGATAAAGCAATCTTGTTCTTGTTGTTTAGAAAAAAGTCAATTTGTACTAACTTATTTTAATGTTTGCAAACATACCCGGTTTTAAAGTATTATATGATGATCAGTTAAAATGCATATGTCCGTAAAATATGTAAAATTTATAGGAATCTGTTAACCCTTTACCACATATATACGCGAAACAACGCACTTTCGACCCCCCCCCCCCCCTTTTTAGGCCTCAAATAGTGAAAAAATGTCCTATTTGGGCCCAAAACATAAGTTTTCGTTTGAGAAATGTTGCTTAAAAAAGTGAGCACTTTTTCGGCGCCGCCCCCATCCAAAAGATACATCAGGGGGTTACCAGAAGGGGGATGTGCCCCCTTCTGTTAGGGGGGTTTGAAAGGGGGCGGAGTCCCCCGTCATCGCCAAGAAAATTTTGGACTTGTGAGAGGCTAAAAATGACCCCAGGTCGATCATAATGTAACGTTTAACCAACACTGAAAAGCCTTTGACTCTATCTCAATCCCTTGAGCAGTTGCAGCACTTTGAAATAAATTTTGATGGAAAAAATCGAGGCAAAATAGTGATTTTTGGCAATTTTGAGATGTCCCCTCGTTGCCATGGTAACAGGAAATTTAAGACTGAGCATGTCGTTACAAAGGCAATGGTCCAGTCAACATTTGTGCCAAGTTTGATTAGTATTGAAGCATTTTTCATAGTTTCATAGCAGTTTGAACTTATAACAGGAGGCTTTTCAGTGAAAACGGCCATTTTTCACAATATGCTCATGGGGGAAAGGGTTAAATAGCATAAGATCAAATCAATTTTCACATAGTTATTGTATTATTTTATTTTCATGTACATGAGGCTAACCAACTATATTTTTGCTTCAATATTTCAGATACATTCTCTGCAAGGTGATTTTTACTGGCAATAGAAAGACATGTAAAATCAATGAAAACGATATTTATACTAAAGTTAAAAATGAAATCGGTGCATTACATGGTGACTATGCTTTGGCTGCATTGAGGAATGTACCAAGTTTTGGAGGTAGGTCTGTTGCATGGCAGCTGTACTATATTTAATATTTACTGATACTATTTGATTAATATAAACTGAACAAGAGGTTTATTGCGTTTAATTGATCAACTGATCTTGTTCATCAGGCACATGTCTTTTCAGTAATTTCACCATATTTCTGGACCTGTTTTTATATCAAATACACTTCACTGGTCTCAACTTATTATATTTCTCAAGCATTTTTGACTTAACTTCCACAGAAGCTTTGTCATCAAGTGTCCTGGTGCATATTTTCAGTGTTTTGTGATTCAAACATTTTTGCAAAATTTTGGCCATTTGTTTTACATGTATCTTGAAAAAACAGTGAAATACACTTCTGTTCTAAATTTCTAGTACATTTTACAATTGATTTTGACTTAACTTTTACATCAAATGTCCTGGTGCATGTTGTCAGTGTTTTATGATTTAGAAATAAAACCAAAAACAGTAAAATACACTTCTGTTCTCAACTCCTACTACATTTCTGAGACTAAACTTTCACAGAAGCTTTGTCATCAGTGTCCAAAAATATCAAATAGCCATAATTCCCCAAAAATGTTTGCATTGCAAAATGCTGACAATATGCACCAGGGATGATAAAGCTTCTGTAAAACATGAACGTTGAAAACATGGTTTCCTCACACTGCTGCGTTTCTTGCTAGGATAATAAATTGCAATGCATTTTGTCCAAGTCTGTGGAATACCTTGTAGTATACATGATAGTACATGTATTACATCAGTGAAGCATTTTCAATGAACTTACACATCGTTTAACTGGCACTTTTACAGTGTTATTCAACATTAATTTTGTTGTAAAAACAGCATGCCTCCAGAATAATGCCAATTTTCGTGCAGATTTTGATGTAAAATCTTGTAAAGTGAACAAAGAAAGTAATCGACACATTGCAAACAGCACTCACAGTCCATATATCTTACAAAAAAGAGGTCAAATATGTAAAAAATACAAGTAGCCCTTACCGTTTTAGTCAATATAATCAGTCATATATAACACATAACAAGTAAATTCTGACTTGAACCTTAAATCTTTTTGGTTTTCTTAAAATCTAAGAACATTTTTCTCAAGTTTGACTTTCATGAAATATTTTGGCTCATCTTGAGGCATGCAGCTGTAAGTAAAATTTCACTTTTTCAAAACTTTTTACAAAATTTCAGTGCGATACATTGATGGGAACACTGGTGTGGTACTGATCAGATGCCAGAGAGATTTGTTAAAGATTGTACAGTCTGCTATCACATATGTTAAGAAGATAAATACAGAAGAGGCTTTCCTACAGACCATACATGTTGGAGGTAAAATTGACATATCAGTACTCTTTTGGAAAAAAAGTATATAACTTTTAAAATTTTTGTTGCTTTTTATGGCAAATATACTTTGTATGTGTATCCATCAGGTGCAGTTTGTCTTCTACATGCATTGTGAACATGCTTTATCATATTTGTGAGGGGCGTCTGTGAGTGTATAAGGTCTTTGACTTCAAACCACTTTCCTCTCACTGATGTAGGTTTAAGCTGTTCAAGCATCGTCAGATTCTACACATGAGAAAGCTATCCAGCTAGCTTACAGAACATCGGTGTTTCTTCTTAGGTGCCCATTTCTGCTTTAAATAATGTACTGATTGTACATAGGGGTACCTGAGGTCAGTAAAGCGGGAAAGTTGCCATATGACCTATACTGTGTTGGCACGACGTAAAACCCAATTTAAAAAAATTATGTCTGTGTAAAGTAAATTTTTCCTCCTTGATAGATGAGTTTACTTTGTCAGGAACATTATATTTGTCTATCAATTTCTGACAAAGCAAGTGAATTTGTCACTTTCGAAGGCTTCAAAATGTTTTTGTCTGTAAAAATAATGTTTCTTCTAATGTTTTCTAATTATATATCCAGAATGTCTTAACTTCCAATCTTTCACCTTAGCAATGTTGAACATGATGCTTTTGTCTGGTTATTGATTTGGATACATTGTATAAAATGTACTTATTAAATATGTGGGCCGCACCATGACAAAACCAACATAATGCATTTGCGGCCAGCATGGATCCAGACCAGCCTGTGCATCTGCGCAATCTGATCAGGATCTATGCTGTTCGCTATCAGTTTCTCTTATGTTGGTTTTGTCATGGTACGGCTCATATATCTTTGTTTAACCTTATTCTTAACCATCTCTGGTTACATTTCATAATTTGATATATTCAATATATTTGATATATTTCAGGAACAATAAGATCGTGTCTGAAGTTTTTGATCAGGTATCACAGATCTCGTCTACCACAACTTTTGATGGAGTGTAAAACTGAAGGTATTTGATTTTCTAAATATTTGAGACAAAACTAACATACCTGTGCCTCTAGTGTAGAATATATATACTGATAGTAGCTCAATTTGGACATTTTAATCATGAAATCCGTTATATTGGTAATAGACAAGTCTGTATTTAAATCAGGGTCTGTTCATTTCATAATTTTAGCATGGTTACACTAAATATTCATCATTTCTTGTGCTAATTTGAAACATATTTAAGCACATAGTGGTCAAAGGTGAACTTTGTATAATGATAATCATGTACAGCTGTTACTAGTTTGTTGTTTATAACAATTTCCATTTAATTTTTTCAAAATACTTTGATTAAACTTAGCAACAATGATCCTTGGCAAGCAGATATCTGCCTTACCTGATAAATTTTGATATCAAAAGACAGTAGCATGTTATTCTAATTGCTTTTATCTAAGTGTTTCTATGTCATGAGAGCTAAAAATAAATCTATAAAGAGAAAGTACTTGACCCAGGGCTTAGATAAAAAAATTGTATCCAGAATAGGTTTTAAGTTAATGTTAAAAGACATGAAAGTTTCATAATATAAATTTTAATGTTTGATAAGAAAAAGACACATGAAAATTTATCCTTGTTAAAAATATTGAAAGGGAAACAAATATGCTAAATTAGGATATGCTAAATGAGAATGTGGAAAAAATGTATAAATTTATGATCTAATTGCAGATGAAAAGAAAAAAGTTCAAGCAGCAATAGTTGAAAGTTGCAAGACAAGTACAAGAGTAATGTGTACTTGGGAGAGAAGAGAAAAATCAGACACACCAAGATAAAACACCAGTAATGAAACAACAATGATAAACGCCATTATAAAACACTAGTGATAAAACACCGGTGATAAAACACACCATGATAAAACACTAATGATAAAACACTAGTGATGAATCACCAGTGATGAAACACCAGTGATAAACATTAGTGATAACACTTGTGATGAAACACTAGTGATGAAATGTCACAATAAAACGCCAGTGATAAAAACCAGTGATAACAGAAGTGATGAAACACCAGTGATGAAACACCAGGGATGAAACGCCAGTGATAAAGCACCCGCTAAAACATGACATTTACAATGTCTTAAAAGAAAAAGACAGTTACAGACCAGTTGCAGGTGGTAAGGTGTAGTTGAGAGATCAGTTAGGCTTAAAACTAAAACAAAACTTACAAGATTCACTACTACAGTTATTAAACATTTTGATTTCCAGCCATGCATTTAATCAATTAGATGCTGTGAACTGATTTTCTTTGATAGGTTTATATTACAGTGAGTATAGATTCTAAAATGTTTTTCAATACTGAGCTGATTGACTTTTTCTTAAACAAGGTTGTGATTTGAAGTTCTGATTTAATTTAGCATTTTTAGGAAATATTGTCCAGCCCAAAACTCTCATGCATCAAGAGATTTTAACAAAAAATGATGAAAATACCTGAAATTACCCAAAATCGCGTTTTTTCATGTTTAAACATTCCTGAAATTACCCAAAATCGCGTTTTTCCATGTTTAAACATGGCCTAACATATAAATTGAAGAAAAATTGTTGTTTTGTAGAATTTTTTATTTTTTTCATTAACCAATTACTTCATGGGCATTTTGTGAAAAATGGCTGTTTTCATTGAAAAGTCTCCCGTTACAAGTTCAAATTGCTATAATACTATAAAAACTGCTTTAATACTAATCAAACTTGGCACAAATGTTGACTGGACCATTGCCTTTGTAACAACATGCTCAGGCTTAAATTTCCTGTTACCATGGCAACGAGGGGACATCTCAAAATTGCAAAGAATAACCATTTTTGCGTTGATTTTTTCCATCAAAATCGATTTCAAACTGCTACAACTTCTCAATGGATTGAGATAGAGTCAAATGCTTTTTAGCGTTGGTTACACGTTACCTTATGATCGATCTGGGGTCATTTTTAGCCTCTCACAAGTCCAAAATTTTCCTGGGGTCACTTTTTTTAACAACATTTCTCAAACGAAAACATGTGTTTTGGGCCCAAACAGGACATTTTTTCACTATTTGAGGCTTAAAAGAGGGAGAGGGGGGGGGGGGGGGGGGGGGGGGGGGGGGCGGGTCGAAAGTGCGTTGTTTCATGTATATATGAGATAAAAGGTTAAATTAACTTGGCACAAATGTTGAGCATGATGAGATAGTGTCACACATCAAGGTATTTTGTAGTTAGAAAAAGTATTTAGTATCTGTCCTGTTGTAACATCTTTATTCATATTATTTGATGTCCTAACATATATAGCGGGAGTGTCTGTGTCTTTCACACACATTTCTAGTTTCCTCCTGTTTTTCAAGAATTCAACAATAACTTCACCACTTGTGCTCTGGGTAAAACCCTTATTCTTAGATTATTCTGACTCGTGCATATTGATGAAATGATTCAGCATGACTATCTAGGAGGACAAATCTCCCTCTTTATTAAAATGTGCTTATGTAAATATTCATTCTATGGCAGTAATTATCTTGTGAATCGATCAAATACAACTCTGTGAGAATGATTAGCTTTTGCTTGTTGGTGATAAGTTGCTTTGGCTCATGATTTTTACCAATGTCTCAATACTATCAGGTTTTGGCTCCATAAGTTTAGCTTTAACTTTGACCAGTTGTTGTAAATATTTCTGAATTGATACTATTTGTTGTTTTGTTAAATAACATTTTGAATAAAACCTGAAATGTGACCAGCCTTTGTTACACATGTATAAACTTCATATAAAGTGTATGTAAACTTCATGTAAGGTAACCAGCTGCTTTGTGCTTTGATGTTGTTTTCTTTTATTCAGAGTATAATTTAATAGTGTTATACTGAAAGCATTGGGAAAAGGTTCAGCATTTTGTAGACCTCATTGTATAGTGTGTGAGGGAAGATAGGGATGTATCATTAGATGTTGTTTGATTTCTATGAAGCATAACCATTATGTTGTTTCCTTTTATTTCACAACTTGCAAAAGGTAACCGATAAATTTTAAATATTGTTACACCAGGTGATCTTGCAATGATATGTACTATGATATATGAAAATGTTAAAAGGCCATAATGAACATATACATGTATATATGTACTTGTATATTCTATATAATTATAATAAAAATGCATATTTGTTTGTATATTTGATAAATTCATGTACTGTGTATTTTGTTAATAATTAAACAAATATAATATACAAACATGTTTCGTTTCATTTGCTTTCACTTAAAGGGAAATTTTTGCACAAGGTATGTTAATATAAAGGTAAATATTATATTAAGCAATTGTCAAATTATTGCAAGCAATACAAAGTCCCCTACTGGTTAGAACCCTACAAAAAAATATGTCTGCAACATTTGGAAAGCCATGGCCTAACAATTTTGCCATTTATGGAAGACATGAATGACCTAAACAGTCCATGTTATTTTAGGTCATGGTCATTTTTAGCTCGACTATTCGCAGAATAATCTACTGAAGGGAATGGATTAAAACTTCACACACTTGTTCTCTGTGATTATCTGAGATAATTGGCACAGGTCCCATAACTCTAATTTTCTTTTTTGCATAATTATGCCCCTTTTTCGACTTAAAAATTCTTTGCATGTAAGCTGGTATCTCCATAACTACTGAAGGGAATCGATTGAAAGTTCACACATTTGTTCTCTGTGATTATCTTACATGATTGGCACAAGTCCCATAACTCTGGTTTGTTTCTTTCCATAATGATGCCCCTTTTTCGACTTAGAAATTCTAGGTAAAGTTTTTGATTGTAAGCTGATATCTCCATAACTACTGAAGTGTTTGTGCCTTTTTTGGCACAATTTTATGCAATAATAATAAAGCAGAGATTAACTTGATAAAACATCGTAATAGCAAGCCTTTGTACCTTTTCGGACAATTTTATGTATTCATATAGGTAAGCATTATTATTCTCAATGAAACACCCTTGTGACAACTTTTCGAATAGTCAAGCGTTATTGTCCTCCGACAGTTCTTGTTTTGTTTCAAATTGTCAATTCTTTCATAATATTTCATTTGTTTCAATATAAATTGTATCCATCAATAAAAAAGTTATGGCAGTTTTTGCTTAATTTTATAATTTGACTACATGTTCATCAAGTTCATTTAAAAATGAAAAGGTCATAAGTGAATAATTCAACATGTTGGTTTTGTCACATTTGTTCTTTTGTCCAAGTATAAATCAAATCTGTACAGAAAAAACAAAAAGTTATGACTAAGCAAGTTTTAAAAATATGACCTTGACGGGCAAAGTAAATTAAAAAGAATAATTCAGCATGTTGGTTTTGCCGGGTTTTTTTTTGTCCAAATATTGATTACATAAAGTTTTGAAAATTTTAGCAAATTTGAATAATTTGACATTGATAGTCAAGGTCAGATAAGGCCAAGATCGTATTTGAATGACTGATTATCTGGGTTTTGTCTTAAGGGTTCTATAAACCAAGTATGTAAATAGAAAACAAAGTACAATCTGAGCTTAATTCAATAATTTGACCGTCAAGGTCATTGATGAGTGAAGGTCAAATCAATTTAATATGTTTGTAGGTCATGCCCAAACAAAGGATTGTTGTGTCCATGTAAAAGACAATCTATTGATCAATTACAAAGTTATTGTCAATTATGGCAAAAAAATCAAACATTTGACCTTGAAGTGAAGGTCAAGTTCTGTATGGTCTTCTTGAAGGCCTTGTCATGTGGTGTTCATGTTTTAAGACAATTCATAAATTTTTTTGACTTATTTTTGTTAAAGTTTCTGGACCACATGACTAGCAATAGCTGAATGTTTTTCTCCGAAAATCTTAGAGAACGAATCTCTGTGAACGAATCTCCCTGACAAGTTCAAACAAATTTGGTCCTATGGTTTAAGAGACTTGTTGACAAACACCGCCACCGACATCCATCTGCCTTAAAAGCTTTTATTAATAGTTCTTTGTGCTCAGATGAGCAAACAAAATAATACTTTGGTCAAAAATCAAAATATTCTATTTTTGAAACTCAGTTCAATAAGATATATTTTGTTATAAACACTAAATTCGTTCACATTTGAACAGATGATCTGGATGAAATGTTAATGCTAGTTTTGTTTAATTTGTTATTACAGTCGGAGGTTTCAAGAATATGATTAGTCCATGTTACATCTGACCATGACCTTCCCACAATCACGTGTGTTTGCCTTTTTAAAAGCTTCTGCGACATCTTCCAAATCAAATCTATGTGTAACAAGAGGTTTAACGTCTATCTGACCTGAAAATATAATCACAATTAATAAATATATGCCAGGCTACTTTAATACAAAACGTTTCACCAAAAGGACGTGTGCGACATTGGTTAAGTGAATATACAGGAACATTATAAGAAATTGTCAGAGCTTGAATATAAACTAATCTATATTTTGAACGAATGAATATACACTTACAAAAATTACAAGTAAAGGGTATTTACCGGAAGCAACAAGGTCCAGTGCCAATGGGGTACAATACAGGTTTGACCTAATCCCTAAGATATCGACCTCCCTAAAGGAGGCGTTAATCATCGGTATTGTGACATTTCCTTCCCCTAGTGCGATCTGCGAAACACGGCCACCATTTCTTGTAGACTTGAAGAAAACAGAAAACCTAAATCACAGATGTTATACATATCACATTAACCTTTTCTATATTTAATTTGCAATATATATCGAAATCTCTAACTTATAAGTTGTTTTTAGGTCATTTTCAGTCATATAAATAACTTCGTTGCGTGACATTTCATATTAAACAATCAGTTACGAGTTTGAAGAGTGACACAAGACACACATTAGACAGAACCTAATTCACATTAAATTATTTACCCTTATGGCTGCTTGAATGGCAGTCGGTGCTCCACTGCACTCTATTGTCATGTGAGGCTTCTCTCCAAAACACTCCTCTACCATTTTTTCAATTTCCAATGCTCCTTTTGATGTCACGTCTAGAGCATAATCAGCTCCTAACTGCTTTGCCAGTTTTACACGAGTTTCATTAACATCTGCAATAATTAAAGTGATGAAGTCGTACACGAAATTATATACAAAGATAACCAAACCAGATATAGCTAAAGTATCAGAATCGTTTTAATGAATAAAGAACTTTAACATTTCAACTATTTACAGGCGGATATATAGATATATTGGTCAAGTAGCACGAACATTACAAAACATAAATCTTTTTAATCTTTTTTCACAAGGAAATCTGAATTAACTGACTGTCTATATAAGTTTGTAAGACGCCTTAGACAATATCCTTATAGTTTATTATATATTGCTCTTGATATTCGTTTCTATTCATAGAAAGTAAACATGTGAGAAGACAAATACAAACCTGTTACACAAATGTTTGAGGCACCAAGCGCCCTGGCGCCCTTCATTGACAGTAGTCCTATAGGACCTGAAAATGAAATGACATTAAATTATTTGTAGCCTCACTCACTCACTCACTCGCTCGCTCACTATGTTACAACAAATATCATGTGACTAAACGTAACTTTGCAATATATCAATGTTTGTCATATCATAAAACTGTTCAATGCTCGTTCAGTTTTTACATCAAAACTTTGTCAATGTGCTGGGCCTATTACATGACTTTGCTTGATCTGAAACTGCAAAACAGTTTCCCTAAAGTTAAGCTAGTCTGCCCTTCTAGACAGTCTGTGCAGTCTTTATATCTACCTCTGATAAACAACTTGAGTTTTACTTGTACTATGCTTCATATTGATGACGGAATGTTCTAAATTCAAAATAGGGTAAGTCAATCTCACTAAGAACGCAAACAATTAGATCTATTGTTATAAGTTTTTATGTGACACAATGCTGTACCTGCTCCAGTTATGAGGACGTTACTTCCAGCAGACACTCCAGCACGGCGACATCCATGTAGGGCGACAGCAAGAGGCTCGATCATAGCACCTTCCTCTGTACTTATGTGGTCTGGTAACCTAAAAATTATCTCTATTGCATAAACTGGAATTAATTTGTTTAAACGGTCTTAAATTCGACACACACTTAACGTCAAAGATAGAAAATACAACATAATTATTATTGGAACAGTAATCAAAGACATTTTAATGAACAAATGATAAGTTTGTAAAGTCAATTCAAATGCTATTAAAATGTTTCGATTTGACACATTTATCGAACATGAAATTTACAAAATATGTATTATCTAAATATAAAATTACAATATACATGTACAATCTTTTTAATGGAACAACAGATATATAATGTGTTTTTTTCTATTTTCCTTTTACAGATTTTTATACGCCTTACCTAAAACAACATTTAGCTTCTTCGACGAAATATCTTGTCATGTAGCCCCATTTTGCTGGGGAACCGCATATGGATAGTTTCTCACATAAATTGTACCGTCCTGTTTTACAATCGTAGCACCTTTCACAGCTTGACAATGGATCCATTGCAACCTTGTCACCTTAATATATATTGTGATGTTATTATACATCTTCGAATAACCAGCCCACTTAGCTGAATAGGTTAGAGCGCGAGACTTGTAAACTCGACATTGTGGGTTCGATTCCCGGGCTGGCCAACTAATCAGTCTTTCGGATGAGACTTTAAATCGTGGTTCCGTTTATGAGTGCTTAAACACTTGGCACAATAAAAAGAACCAGTAGAAGCTTCTGGCATTTGGTTATCTTTCTGAATCTGTGTCTTGCACTATCCTACAAAATTTGAAATGACTAATTCTCTTCTGGAGGACTCGCCCTTATGTGCAACCGGTGGCGAGTATAAATAAACTTAAAGTGACATTATGCCATCCAAGGGGAACAATAGCTGTCACAGGAGACAGCAAAGCTCGACTAATTAAATACTGCACGCAGTAAGGAAGAAGACAAAACTATGAAAGAAAAATCAATTATGATATAAATATATTTCTTCTTATGACAAAAGTTAAGGTTGTTACCATAAATTCCAAGTTCAAGGGGGAATAATTCTGGAAATAGTCAAAATAGAGTTATGGACCTTGTCACACAACATGTGTGTAATGATAAGAAATATATATTTGAAGCTTGAAGAAGATACCTTTAAAAGTAAAGAATTTATAATATTTTCTTAAAGAAAATTCTAAGCTGAAAGAGAGATAAATCTGAAAATATTGCTTCAAGAGTTATGAACCTTGTCACATAAGATCTGGTATTTGAAGTTTGAGGTAGATACCTTTAAAACTAAAGAAGTTATAGAAAAAAAATAACATTTTTAAAGAAAAAAAAATCTAAGTAAATGGGGAGATAATTCTTGCAATATTGGTGCTAGAGTTATGAACCTTGTCATATAAGATGTGGTTAATGATAAGGAACATAATTATATTTCAAGTTTTAAGTTGATCCCTTAAGAAATAAAGAAGTAACAGTAAAAGATCATATTTGTTAAGGAAAATTCTAAGTTCAAGGGTAGACAAATCTGAAAATATTGATGCAAGAGAGTTATGAACCTTGTCACATAAGATGTGGTTGATGATAAGGAACATATATTTGAAGTTTGAAGTTGATACCTTAAGAAATGAAAAAGTTATAGTAAAAACTAATTTTTTTAAGAAAATTCTTAAAGTTCAAGGGCAGATAAATCTATAAATATTGGTACCTTAAGAAATGAAAATGTTATAGTGAAAATATTTTACTGCACCAAAACTTAAATCTGAAATCTGGACCGGGGCGAGCAGGACAGCTCTCCATATATTTCGTATAGTCGAGCTAAAAAGAAAGTTTGCATTTGGCCATAAAGTCTGTAGTGATTTACTGCTGAACGATACATAAATCACTTGTTCCAGAAGTTTCTGTAGAAATCCATTGAAATTTACCTGTAACATTCAATTTATAAAGAGTGGGCAGTCTTTCTTATATACTTAGGTAGATTTATATTTTATCCTAAACATTTTCTGATATCAACGGTTAACCAGTCACCATTTTAACAGTACATGTACATGTATATAGCCAATGCAGTTGAACTTGAAAATGAAAAAAGAACATAATGTCACTTTCATATAACAATCATTACGTGCAATTATGAAGGTAATGCATGTAAAAATAATGCACATGTAAATTACCAATCTTTAGGGAAGTGACTCCTTCCCCTAGCTTCGACACAACGCCTGCACCCTCATGTCCTATACCAAAGGGATCTTTACCTTCCACACAGTCCGGAATTCTGTTGTGGTTCCAGAAAGTTAAATCCGAACCACATATTCCAACATTTTCTACACGGATTTGTATTTCTGCAATATTTTTTTAAAATGATAACGCTTCTTGCCATTACCTCTGGCATATTTATATTATATAGTTATATTTTTTATTGTAGCGTTTTTAAGAAATAAAACAGTGACAAAAACCCTCCATAGTACGGTTTTGATTAACAAATAAACGTTCGCAATTTTCAAGAAATGGCGATGCTGTAAAATGTTGTTTTTTTAGGTCCATGAGCTAATCATTCTATTTTTAATCATCGTCATGCTATGTAACCTCTGCTGAGTGGTCATCTGTAAAGAAATAACCTCTTTACAACAGACCGTATCAATTCGTCCAAAATCAGATTTCAAAATTAATTAAACCTCTCTAAAGCAACACCCCTCAGCAAGTCTTGTTCTTTTAAAAGGTGTTGCTCAGCAGATACTTCACTTTTTTGTCATTAGATATCATAAATTGTATATTTAATTTATCATTTTAATACAAGCGTTTTTTTTTATCATATTTGCATATAAGTTATTGTCATATTTGCATACAAAGTTTTTGTCATATTTGCATAGAAATATAATATTATTGAAATTCATACACAGTTTGAGATTTTTTGTGGACATATGATGTTGCTACATACATTCAATAATTGAATAATTTATAAAAAGTAAGAAGAAATACAAACGTCCTGGGCCTGGCTCTGGTATCTGTTCATCTCTCTGGTAAAAATGTTAAAAAATAAATAGTGACATGTTAAAACAATATGAAAGCATATATACGTACATTGTTACGCAAATACTAATAGTAAATTAGTCGGATCTAGATTAATTTGGTTGGGTTTTAAATGCAAAGACACTGTTGAGGTGATTGCATGTGGCGAGTTTACAACTATCCCCGGAGGAGGAAGACCACATGTGCCCGATTATATTGTATTTACATGTAAAATTGTTTGAAGTGAATATTAGACAATATTATGCAAACTATGTTTATGTTTAAGTTAGTTCGACAAAGTTTGTCCTTGTTGACTTATATTAGTGACGACCTGCAAGTTAAACGTACATATATGTGTGTTATCTTTGTGTTAAAAAGAAGGATACTATATATATGTTAAGAAAAAGAAATACATTTACTATCAAAATATGAAAGATATGGAAATTACAACTTACCAAACGAATATCTTGTATACCATAAAATACGGCTCTTAAATTTCCTCCAGACATATTAATATGGTATTATAATAAAAAGTTTATGTTCATGCACAGTTATGTCTATCCCATGCATCAATGATAAGTGCATGCCATACATCTGATATCTTGTTTATCATTACAGCAGTTTGAAAATGGAGACATCTCTACATGTTTAGTAATATAACAAAATATCTTGAACCCCAAACAACTTAATATAAAACGAAAATCCTTGATAGGCCCCACACCCCGCGGGCAACATTTGACCCAAAGGCTGTAATTTGAGAAAACTTTGTAGTTGTCCACTAACAATAATACAGCGGAGATTCTGTATATGTGTACTTATCGTGGTTTCCTTGTCCAACAGTTTTAATAATTATTCTTGATCATTCAGCGTTTTAGCAACTTTTCATTTTGATTTGTCAAATATCTGACGATCTCTTACTGTTCATTATTTACTTTTTCTTATCTCTACATGATTAAATAAATAAACGGCAATATTAAACGGCTTGCATAGATAACTTATTACTTCTTCAAATACATTAACTTTTTTCATCTGGTGTTGACAACTTCTGTACAAGTGCAGAAAAATACACCATCATGTACCAATAGACAATTGTTTGAAGAGATACAAATAAACAAACAAGTAAGAAACATATGAAACATATTTCAAAATTCAACGACTGAAGATAGGACATTTTATTTAGGTTATCATTTTAGACCAATTTATTGTTATACTATTAGGTTGTAGGAAAATTTTTCCATTTTTATAAAAAGATGATGACAAAAAACTATAGAATATAAGATATATTAGGTTCCAAACATGAAAAAACAGCAAAATTTCAATGAACTCAAAAGTGCCTTTATTACTCAAAATAATTTTAAATATTTACTGCAATCCTCCTTTGTTTTACCAGCATTTTTAAAAAAGATGTATTTCAGTTTTTATTAAAAAAATGCGCGAAAAAGTAAAATTGCAGAATTTTAATGTTCTGTTCATCAGAGCTCACAGTTGATCAGTTACTATATGCACGACCAGATGCTCTATGAAAATGTCAATGTTTACCATCTGACTGGCACAAGAAAATCTCCCAAAATTTATCTATAAATCTGTCAACAGCATTGCCTCAATTTAATGCTGTTATCTAAGGGCCCGTCTACACCTATCCAAGTTTTGAATGCAAGTATCATAGTCTCTTGTATTGGATAGTGTAGACACCCTACTTGAATGAGTTTTAAAGAGAAATTATGTGACATCCAAGAAGAAAATTCCTTGCAAGAAAGTTAGAACACGTTCTATTTTTCTACAAATTTTTGGCTGTCAAGACACTGATAACACCAATTTGACACAAAACATGTGTCCGAAGGTTTGATAGTGCTGTTAATTTTATTATTTTCTGACTTTTTATTGTTGATTCAGTGTACTTGCCCTTTGAATTTCAGTAAATGATTACAATGTCTTGGTCAAAGGAACAAATCAATACGCTGATACACAGAAGAGCAAAAAATAAATAAAAATAAATAAATACATTGTAAAAAAATAAAAAAGAGCTCTTTTTCAAGTAGAGTCAAAATGGATTTAAAATGATCTTGTTCATTTAGTGAATAACTTTCATCAAATAAAGAATTTTCATCAAAATAGATTTTTGTCACATTTTTCAATTTTAAAAAAGAATGAACGCATTTCATTTACTCCATTCTGTTTTAGCTAATTGCATCATTTTCCCGCTTTTTTCACATATTTTACAGAAACATGATAGTATTGCAAAGACAAAGATATAAATCCTGGGCAAACTTAATGAGACATTTTAGTAAAAATTGTGCCTGAAAAAAATGTTGAAAGGGCCATATATTTAGCTTATCTAAATGTGACATGTAAGAAACTTGAATAGGTGTAGACACGGCCTAACTTTTACATATCTTTAGTGCTACATAAATAAACTTAAACGACACGCGAGTAAAACTTAAATCGTTCTTTGTAATTAGTAGATCGGAAGAAAAACAGAAATTGCCAATGAAGTGGAATATAACTTTACCGCTCTTTGCAAGTTTGCTTGTCATTCAAAATGCTTTATGTTCTGAGATTCCACATGACATAGAAAACGTTTTAAAGAGATTGCAACACATGGAAGATAAAGGTAATAAAGATATTTATCACGTTTATGAAGTATATTATTCTTTGTTTTTATCTCAAGGAAAAGAATCAGTGGTATGTACAAAGGAGGAGGCAATGGTTTTAAGCGTTTGAACGGTAAAATATCATTTGATTGTGACTAATTTCCTGTAAGCTATCAATACCAGCATAGATCTTTTTTACTCACTGCTAGAGCAGATGATACATATATGTTTTTTGTATATACCAGCACATTGCATCATAATTTTAGTATTTGCGACAAATATTTATTTTCAGTTGCTGCTCAAGGTACTGAAATCGCTGCTCAAGGTACTGAAATCGAAGACCTACGTAAAACCAATACAGAGTTAAAGAGGTCAAATCAAGACCTGCGTAAGTCAATAGCAGAATTACAAGAAACAAGTAAAGAGAACCATGACTGTCATGCTCTGTTATTTGGATCAAACTCAGTACAGCGTCAATTCCGTCTTGAGAATAATCAAAGGAGAGCTTTCTTTGAAAAGGGTAAATATTCTATTACTTTTGTATCATTGTAATTATAACATAGCATAACATCATAAAAATAACTATGAGTTAGCTATTGAAACAATATCTTTAAGTTGAGAATAACATAGCATAAGTTAAGGAGAACAATAGATCCAGTAACTTATTGCTTGTCAATTTTTGTACAACAATGTAATATATTTCATTTGATTACGCAGGGATCAGTTAGACCTGTATTAATCGACATGCAAAACACAAACGAACTTGTTCCAAGGTAAAAAATAAACTATTACTCTAGCCTATCAGAGAAACATGTACTGTTTATCGTATGACTTTGTTACAACGAGTTACCTCAGGAAGTTAATCAATTGTTTAAGAAATATTGTAGTTAGATGTTATGGTAAGAACACGTGCATATTATTTATTAACACTTGTTATTTTTGTCATTTGGCCTTTACTACTTTCTTACCTTACCAGTTATTTCGCTCGTTACATGACCACACTGGCCATATCTTTCGCGGTGGAGTATTTGTCGCAGACGCGGTGGAAAAAATGGCCGTTTGCTGTTGTTGGTAAGTTTATGACTGAAATTTACGATAAACGTTTTATTGGAAACGCTAATTGCGAAAGAAGCCAACGTGTGTACTTTTCCAACTTATATCATGCACACTGCCTTTTATACTGGCACTTATGTACAGTTTGACGAGGGGACGCCACTTTTGCCTAATTTTGCAAATGTGAACAAAGCGACTCCTTAATACACTGGCATCGCATCGTATGTATGATACATTCACAATCAACCATTTTTAAAAATTTAAGAAATTGTTATTGCTGTTTATAAAAGAAAATGATAACGTACAACGCAGACGACAGTGGATTCGATTGGAACGCAATGCAGTGGACCTGATACCAATAAAACTGTTTTGGGGCACTTTTTCAATTGAGTACAATCGTAAATTGCTTTGACACCAGCAAAACGTGTACATTTGGTGTTTAATACAATAAAGTTGTATATACAAATAGATGTCCGAGTTCCGCTTCCAATATCCTACAATTGAAAATGCGTGTGATAAGTTGGAAGAGTACATATATAGGCTTCTGTCTCACTGGGCGTTTCCAGTAAAACATTTAAACATAAAGTAAAATTCAGCCATGAACTAACCGACAGCAACAAACAGCCATTTTTCACCGCTTCTACGACAAATACTCCACCGCCGCTGCGGTGGACCAATCGCTCTGCGAAAGCAATGGCCAGTGTGATGTCGTGTAATAACACTCATTTCCTGACCAGTCTTTACTATCGTTTCCTGACCAGTCTTTAATCTCGTTATTGAACTGTTCTGACTATCGTTAATTTATTGAACTATTCTGGGGTTAGTATCTCGAAGCTATCGTTATATTTGCGTTTACGAACGTGCTAACAATAGACGGAGGGTTGGTTAACGAGAGACTAGTGCGGGTATTTCGAAAGCAGTAGTTAAGCAATCGTTCGTTGCTTACTCGTTAGTTATTAACGATTGCGTTGTGTTATCATTTGAATACATGCACCCGGTGTTTATATTCACCGAATCATTATTTTGCGTAGACGAAGGTAAATATAAGGTTACGATCATGCTAAACCGGAACACAATCACACGACACGTGCAGGATCCGCCGGTCTGTCGTCTAGTAATATAGACTTGTTTTGCGATGAAAATCCCGATTGCCTTGATAATATCAATTGTGATAGTGGTAAACCTACGAAAACGGTTCCTTAAAAAAAAGAGAACAGTCATTGGAACTGCCCCTGTTGAAAGTTCCAATGAAACAGGCGTGATTTCTAATTGAGGGGCGGGGCGGGAACTTAACATAGAAACTGGAAAAAAAACGACTGTATATAGAACCGCAGAGACTGAAGATTTAGCAGCAGAGGCTGCCAGTGTAGTCACATATTTTAAACACTTTACATAGTTAAAGCCAATATTCTGGCGGAGCTTCTTCTCAATACCAGTCAAAAAATCTGGGAACAGGGTGTAAGTATACTGTCAATATTCAAATTTGAAAATGTTGCTTTCATTGTTGCTTTCCGTTTGAGTGAAATATGGACTATATTTTCACGAAACATAATGAAATTTTACCCTTTAGGCTTTAGACAAACATATGTACAGCAACTCTTTCTAAAATCCCACTTGCTACAAAGCTGCAAAGACGTCATGCGCCTAACAATGACGCCATGAGCAAAACAATTACTTCATAAGCATAAATATATATTAAATATGTAAAGTCGATTTTCATTGGATAATCATGACATTTATATTATTAGTTATAAAGATTTTTGACAGGTAATATTGGTAATATAAACGACTGTTTGGAAATATAACCCGAGCCGCTAGGCGATGGTTATATTGCCTACAAGGTCCATTTAACATGTCAGGAATGTTTATAACGAATTTATAAAACCGCGAACTTCCCTTTTTTTGAGAAAAAAGGTGAGATTTCTTAGAAAATTGCCAGAAACAGTGTATATAAAACTATAAAAATGTCACGATTCTCCAATGAAAAGTCTTTTATAATACTACACGTTTGTTACTGCAACTGCAAGTTTGGTACGTCAATTTTGATTGGCGTTTATATAGTTTATATACATAGCTGCTGTCAATTTATCAAGAAATCTCTCTTTTTTTCTGCAGTATTGTAAATTCGTTATAAAGATTTTTAACAGGATATATGGCCGATATAATTATGTTTGCAATATAACTCTCACTTGGCGGCTCGGGTTATCGTTTATATACGGCCATATAACCTGTCAAAAATCTGTATTACTAAATATATACATGGCTGCTGTTAATTAATATGGATAAATTTCATTTTGTTTTAAACAAAGGATGTTTGCTGTATTATAAATTAAAATATAACTAGTTAAATTATAACAACTGGTGTTCGCAAGTGAAATATTTGTTACTATGAAATGATAAACAAACAACATTTCTATATATTACATCCATTTTTGTGGTACCGATTTTTGCAGCTGACGTAATGCACTTTTCTTCATGATGTAGTCAATGGTAGGATACTACGTCATCGCGCACCTGCTGAATGCTCCCACTTGGACCATTTTTTCGTCGACTCGAAGGTAAAATACAATTTTATTATAAGAAAACGTAAGAGTATCAAAAAATCATGTAGCGCACCAAAGAATGGCTACAGTACTTGAGATAATTGTAAAAAAAGTTTATAGATTCATTGCCTGGTTTACGCCTGAAAACGGGATAAGTGTTTTTTCTCTGAATGCTCCCACTCGGACTTTTCCCGAAACATATATGAAATAAGGTTGAAAACCTTCTTGAAAATTGTTTTTTAACGTACCGGAACATAAACCGAGTCATGTTTACCCCCTTATTCTATATTAGTTCCAAATATTTCTATTCAGAAATCAGTTTTTGTTAATTCTTTTTATGAAAATGGAAAATGCTCCCACGCGGACTCAACTTAAGAGATGCTCCCACTCGGACCTAAATATATACATTTTTGAAAGCATAAATATCTTTATATAATTCACGTTTATATATTCATATAATCAGTTAGAATTCTATGAAACAGCATTTTTAAAATACGATACTAAAATTTAGATCACTAAAATTGTGACATATTTTATCATAACAGTCTCGTAAATATGTCTTCTTAGAGGATCAGTTTATCGGCCTAAGAATAAGAAAAAAAGGTTGTGTTTGAAACAATTCCTCGTAAAATAGAGTCGCTGAAATCAGAAAGAAATGGATTATACATTTTTAAAATATAATAACGTTCTGTTTTGCAGAAAGTATTTGTGTTTGTGACCAGCATGGGAAAAGGTATAAACCACATTGCGACGTAAGAAAGCACATGGCAGGACATCTTGGCACGGCATAGCTGGAGCAAATATTTTAGATACCAACTGTGGATGTTCCATGAGGGGGAATACTCTAGAAAAAACAAGAATTTTTGTTCTTTAAAAAAACCTCTTTTTTCAGTTTTTGCGTTTAAATTTTTTGGGAAAAGGGCATAAAGGGTCAAATTTATATAAAAATTCATGGAGGATAGTTTCAATAAAATAAAATCCGCAAAAAAGAATGCAACTTCCCCGTTTTGGAGTTTTTTCCTTTCTATTCCAAAGTTTTGTTTGCAAACCATTCCCCTTAAATTTTTGAGATATAAATTGAAAATTTAAAATTTAAAAAAAGTTTAATGAAAGGAAAAAGCAGAGCACAGACCAAAATGTTCAGAATGGGTTTTTTGTTTTTTTTTTTGTTTCTTTTTTCTGGGTTTATTTTTTTCATTTTTTATGTCATAAAATTTTCACGAAAGCATTACTTGGAAATTTTTACTTTTTGTAAGGGTTTATTCCCCTTGAAATGTTTCTCCTCTTTTTACGGGGGGTTTTTTGTTTGTGTATTCTTGTATATTGTTTTTTATTTTTAACGTTATTTTAAAAAATCCTGAAAAAACTTTTTTTGTTTTTTATTTCTTTAAAAAATCTCAAAGAAGAATTATCCATTGTTTGTTAAAAGGCATTTTTTTTAAAGATAATAGACTTTACTTTTATTAAGGAGGAAAAAGAAAATATTACTTTTTAAGTGTTAAGTTTTATTCTTTAAAAAATGATGATAAAGTATTTTTTTAATAAAATTTTAATTGGACAACTTTTGAGAGTTATTTTTCAATTTTCCAAAAATTTTTAAAATTTTTTAAGTTAATTAAAATACTTTATTAAAAAATTTTAAAATTTGGGGAAAACCCGAAAATTTTAACTACAAGGGCTTTAAATACCAAATTAGGGGAAAAAGACTTTGATAAAGAAAAAACTTGATTTTGTTTTTTATATTTTTTTTTTTATTTAGGGAAAAATACGTTTTCAATATCAAAATTTCATAAAATTGTCAAATTGTCAAATTTGTTGACTGCTTTTTGTTGTTGGTATGGGATTTCCCAACTTTTTAACCAGCTAGATAAAAATATTTACTGTTTTCTTTTAATAAAACTTACTCAAATCAACCGATAAATTTTTGAAATCTTTATTTTCATAAACGTACCATTATTTGTTTTAAAATCTAAATCACAAGTTTAAAAAAACCCAAAAAATTTTTTAAAAAATTTTAACAAAATATTAAATCACAATTATTGAATTAATGCGACTTTTATTGTGTTTCAGTTTCCAAAAGAACTTAAAACCCGTATGAAATAAACATGTTAATCTTTTTTTTTTAAAACACCACATTTTTTCATCACAAACAAAGCTTTTAAATTTAGATCCAAACTCCATCTAAAGTCTTATATCCTATTCGTTGTTGGCAATCATTTTGAATCATCCCTTCGGATTCCAACCCAAAAGCAAGGCACCTTTCCTGTATAGTTGATTTTCCTGTCAGTTGAAATTTCACAGGCCCACCTTGTTTGCCCAACGACGCCATTCTTCAGAATAAAAAAGTGATCTCTGTAAAAAGAAGGAAAAAGTTAATGTTGCCAAAACACAGTAGTTATTGACAAAAATGGTGGTATATATGTGTAAAAATTGTGTGAATAACCACAAAAAGCTTAAACACAGTCAATATGTGCTTTCAGAATGTATATATATTTGGTCCGAGTGGGAGCATCTCTGAAATCGAGTCCCGAGTGGAGCATTTTCCATTTTTATAAAATAAACTTTAAAAAAAAAAAAACTAACTTTGAAATAGAAATATTGAAATTAAAAATCTAGGAAAAGTGTAAACATGACTCGGTTTATGTTTCCGGTACGTTAAAAATATAATTTTCAAGAAGGTTTTCAACCTTATTTCTTATATGTTTCGGGAAAAGTCCGAGTGGGAGCATTCAGAGAAAAACACTTATCCCGTTTTCAGGCCTAAACCAGGCAATAAATCTATAAACTTTATTTACAATCATCTCAAGTACTATAGCCATTCTTTGGTGCGCTACATGATTTTTTGATACTCTTACGTTTTCTTATAATAAAATTGTATTATACCTTCGAGTCGACGAAAAATGGTCCAAGTGGGAGCATTCAGCAGGTGCGCGATGACGTAGTATCCCTACCATTGGTAGTTAATACGTCACAGTTTACTTTTCGAAATATAATTTTTGTAACTATGTAGTTTGAATTTTGTTGAATTTTCAGCATGATGTATGCATATATTTATTTATGTTTTTCTTGTGCAAAATTACACATTACGGAGATTATTCCTTTCGCTGTTTAAGTTATGATATGTTTTTTTTTTCATCCGCCATTCAAATATAAGTCTTAAATTAAAATGTAAAGAACCTTTACATATGTTTGATATGTGAGAAAAATTTTGTTTGTTTGGATTTTTACGGCTCGTCAACATATAACTGGCCATATCGTGTCGAATGCTATAATAGGCTTAAAATGTTATGTAAAAGTTACTAAATGACAATAAAAATGAGCCAATTAGATCCAAGAATACAAGTTTATCTCTTTCAACTAATCAATGATATTTTTTTATGGAATTGTATTAAAGAGTTCTTTGAGTGAATTTAAATAAAATATATTAAGGGCCTGTGAAAATTCATGAGAAAAAGAAATACAATACTATATTTATGTCGGTTCATCATTTTTTATCAATAAAATGATATAATTCTCATTTTTATGTACTTTAAAATCGCACCTTTCTTACTTTTGTGTCAAAATGATAGTAACGAGAGCCTTACGACACCCTCTAGGCATCCGTTAATAATTGGGCATGTTAACGATTATTCGTTAATTACGAGAGCGTTGAGATAGCGGTGAAAACCTTAACGAGAGGTATATGATAGTCGTTATGCTAACGATAGCTTCGAGATACTAACCCCTGACTATCATTATTGAACTATAATTTCAATCGTTAACTGTACTGTCTATCATTATTGAAATGTACTGACTATCATTATTGAAATGTACTGACTATCATTATTGAAGTGTACTGACTATCATTATTGAAATGTACTGACTATCATTATTGAAGTGTACTGACTATCATTATTGAAGTGTACTGACTATCATTATTGAAATGTACTGACTATCATTATTGAAGTGTACTGACTATCATTATTGAAGTGTACTGACTATCATTATTGAAATGTACTGACTATCATTATTGAAGTGTACTGACTATCATTATTGAAATGTACTGACTATCATTATTGAACGGTACTGATTCTCATTATTGAACTGTACTGACTTTCGTTATTGAACTGTACTGACTATCGTACTTGAAGTGTACTGACTTTCGTTATTGAACTGTACTGACTATCGTACTTGAAGTGTACTGACTTTCGTTATTGAACTGTACTGACTTTCGTTATTGAACTGTACTGACTATCGTTATTGAACTGTACTGACTATCGTTATTGAACTGTACTGACTATCATTATTGAACTGTTCTGACTGTTTTTATTGAACTGTACTGACTATCAATATTGAACTGTACTGACTTTCGTTATTGAACTGTAATGACTATCGTTATTGAACTGTACTGACTATCGTTATTGAACTGTACTGACTATCATTATTGAAGTGTACTGTCAATCGTACTTGAAGTGTACTGACTATCGTTATTGAACTGTACTGACTATCATTATTGAAGTGCACTGACAATCATTATTGAACTGTACTTACTGTCATAATTGAACTCTACTGACTTACGTGATTTAAATGTACTGACTATCATTATTGAAGTGTACTGACTATCTTTATTGAAGTGTACTGACTATCATTATTGAACTGTACTGACTATAGTTATTGAAGTGTACTAACTATCGTTATTGAAGTGAACTGACTTTCGTTATTGAACTGTATTGACTATCATTATTGAAGTATACTGACTATCGTTATTGAACTGTACTGACTATCATTATTGAACTGCACTGACAACACTATTTAACTATACTGACTATCGTTATTGAACTGTACTGACTATCATTATTGAACTGCATTGACTATCATTATTGAAGTGTACTGACTATCGTTATTAAACTGTTTTGACTATCGTTATTGAACTATACTGACAATCATTATTGAACTGTACTGACTATCTTTATTTAACTGTACTGACTATCATTATTGAACTGCACAGACTATCATTATTTAAGTGTACTGACTATCGTTATTAAAGTGTACTGACTATCATTATTGAAGTGTATTGACTATCGTTATTGAAGTGTACTGACTATCATTATTGAAGTGTACTGTCAATCGTACTTAAAGTGTACTGACTATCATTATTGAAGTGTACTGTCCATCATTATTGAAGTGTACTGACTATCGTTATTGAAGTGTACTGACTATCATTATTGAAGTGTACTGATTATCGTTATTGAACTGTTCTGACTATCATTATTGAACTATACTGACTTTCGTTATTAAACTGTTCTAACTATCGTTTTTGAAGTGTACTGACTATCATTATTGAAGTGTATTGACTATCGTTTTTGAAGTGTACACACTATCATTATTGAAGTGTATTGTCTATCGTACTTGAAGTGTATTGACTATCATTATTGAACTGTACTGACTATCGTTATTGAACTGTACTGACTATCATTATTGAAGTGTACTGACTATCGTTATTGAAGTGTACTGACTATCATTATTGAAGTGTACTGTCAATCGTACTTGAAGTGTACTGACTATCATTATTGAAGTGTACTGTCCATCATTATTGAAGTGTACTGACTATCGTTATTGAAGTGTACTGACTATCATTATTGAAGTGTACTGATTATCGTTATTGAACTGTTCTGACTATCATTATTGAACGAACTATACTGACTTTCGTTATTAAACTGTTCTAACTATCGTTTTTGAAGTGTACTGACTATCATTATTGAAGTGTATTGACTATCGTTTTTGAAGTGTACACACTATCATTATTGAAGTGTATTGTCTATCGTACTTGAAGTGTATTGACTATCGTTATTGAACTGTACTGACTATCGTTATTGAACTGTACTGACTATCATTATTGAAGTGTACTGACTATCGTTATTGAACTGTACTGACTATCGTTATTGAACTGTAATGACTATCATTATTGAACTGTACTGACTATCGTTATTGAACTGTACTGACTATCATTATTGAACTGTACTGACTATCATTATTGAACTGTACTGACTATCATTATTGAACTGTACTGACTATCGTTATTGAACTGTACTGACTATCGTTATTGAACTGTAATGACTATAGTTATTGAACTGTAATGACTATCATTATTGAACTGTACTGACTATCGTTATTGAACTTTACTGACTATCATTAATGAACTGTACTGACTATCATTATTGAACTGTACTGACTATCGTTATTGAACTGTACTGACTATCGTTATTGAACTGTACTGACTATCGTTATTGAACTGTAATGACTATAGTTATTGAACTGTAATGACTATCATTATTGAACTGTACTGACTTTCGTTATTGAGCTCTACTGACTGTCGTTATGGTACTGTACCGAAAATCATTATTGAACTATAATTTGTCTCATTATTGATTTGTACTGACTATCTCTTGAACTGTACTGACTATCGTTATTGATCTGTACTTTCTGTCGCTATTGCACTGGAATGACTATCACTACTGAATTGTACTTGCTATCTTATTTTAACTTATTTTCTCTTGTAAATGAACTATGCTTACTTTTATTGTTGACCTATAATGCTCTCGTTTATGAATGGTATCTAATCTCGTCACTATTATCACTTTGCTACTGAGATATATTATCCTCAATATATTTCAGTAGAGAAATCTAAGCGTTTTGTTATGAACAACGAAGGACCAGTGGCATTCACAGCAGCTATTAAACCAACGGTAGTTTATCATCTCAAACATATGGACACAATCAAGTTTGAAACAGTGATAACGGATATAGGAGGAGGGTACAACAACCAGTCAGGCATGTTCGTTGCTCCAGTATCAGGTATCTACGTGTTCAGTTGCTCCCTGATGGATCACGATGCATCTCAAGGTGTTATGGTGCATGCTGAAATTATACACAACCAGCGTGTACTTGGCCGAATATTCGCTCATGCTGAAGGGGGGTCATATCGTGACCAGGGTGCACAAACAGTGTTTACACACGTTAACCAAGGCGACCAAATATGGGTGAGAACAATTGACAACCCGGATCTTGCACTTGGTGGAGAATTATATTCAACATTTTCTGGTTACTTGCTCCTTGCAATGTAATAATATCTTTATTAATAAAAATTGAAAAAAAATATGTATTGTTGTGATAAAATCATAAAGCACACACACACGCACACGAACACACACCAACACACGCGCACACACACCAACACACACACCAACACACACACACACACACACACACACACACAGGTGAATCTCTATATGCCTGTGATGCTGCGGTGTATTATTTTGTATTCAAGTTAAAAATAATTACGCAACTTATTATCTTATTTTAAGGAATAATTCATTGTTAAAAATACGAAATTTTCATTTTGATTGTTTTTTCACATTTCATCCTCTTTCTTTAGAACGATTGTCATATAAATTTAAATAAAGTAAGAACTGAAAAGTGAATCACTGTGTTGCATATGGATCCTACCCTACTGAAATATCAGGGTGACCGGCAACCAGGGTGTGGTTGTAGATACAATGTATAGACGAAGGCATATGGCCACAGAGATTGACTAGGTGTTTTCTGAACTTAGTTTAAGACGTAATTCTTGTAAATACACACTCACTGCAACAATGAAAAATGTTCTGTCAATCAGTAGTTGATTCTTTTGGAAAATAGAATGTATTGCATTTGCCCAAATATATACTACATGTACAAACAAAAAAGTATACGTTTTTCCTATGTCAAGATACCTCTTTTTAATATTCTTCATTTCGTATTTTTGAGTTACAATTATAGTCAAACTCATGAATTGCAAGATCTAAAGATAGCAAACAAGATATGTTTGTAAAACATGCCTCTCCTATCGGTAGCCAATTAGTCATGTGGTCAGGTTATTGTGACTGATATTTTACCTAGTGACCAAAATCAAAAGGGGTTATTTACTGATTATGACTGGTCACTAGGTAATTGTGACCGTAAATGTTGTGTGCAGCAATTTTATGACAAAGTTATCACAAATCTTACCAAATAATATATGCATAAATTTTATGAATCATGTAGGCCTCCTTAATGACAGCCAATTTGTTATATTACATTAGACCTTGAAATGTGTATACCAAAAGCATTTTTAGTTTAATAAAAAATATCAACCAAGGCAACTTGAGTTCTTGAGTTATTGGTCGGAAACCGGCTTTACATACAAGGTCAATGTGACTTTGACCTTTGATCCTTAAATCAATAACAGTTTTATACTTCCCAAGACAAATGCACCTGTGAAGTGTGAAGGTAAAAGGCCCAAGAGATAATGATTATAAAGGATTTTCACCTGTAAGGTCAATGTGATCTTGACCTCTGTTCACTTGACTCAAAAAATCCATTGAGGTCATTTTCTGACCAAAAGCAATACGTCTGTGAAGTTTCAAGGTCAAGGGTCCATGTATTGTCCAGTTATTGATAGGAAACCGTTTTGACCCACAAGGTCAATGTGACATTGATCTTTGACACATTGATCCAAAATAAATAGGGGTCATCGACTTGCCAATACCAATGCACCTATTTAGTTTGAGGGCAAAGGGCCTATTGGTTGTCAACTTTTTGATCGGAAACCCTTTTAATCTATACTATTAATATGACCTTGACCTTTGACCCCGTGACCCAGAATCAAAAAAGGTCATTTACTTGCCAAGACCAATGCATCTTCAAAAGTTTGAAGGCAAACAGTTTATGGGTTGTCAAGTTATTGATCGGAAACCGGTTTTACGTACAAGGTCAAGATGACCTTGACCTTTGACCCCTTGACCTTAAAATCAACAGGTGTCATCTTCTGGTCATGAACAATCCTCATATTAAGCTTGAAGTTCCTAGGCCTAAGCGTTCTTTAGTTATTGACAGGAAACCATTTAGTCTACGGACCGACCGAACGACAGAGCAATATACCCAAACTTCCTTGAAGGTGTCATAACAAGATCAGAAAGCCTGATAGACTTATTAAAGAGTGCCCATCCCCCCCCCCCCATCGTCGAAAATAAGCGCAACAGGTTGACTTCTCTTTTATGTACAGTAGTGCACCCTGAAGCTATTACGGTAAACCACTGTTTGAACTGTAGGGTTAGCTTTGAAAATCCAATATTTGTCTAGTTCCGGATAAAAAATATTGACGTGTATTGTTTAAGATAATGTTCCAAGTATTTTAAGTGGTATCAATACTATATTAAAGTACAATTTGTAACATTAATAATCATTGATGCCACTAGTTGACAATTTTCTCTGAACGGATTTAATCATTCTATTTGTGTCATTGGCAATATTATAGACATTGGTGCCAAATAATACCATTGGCATCTAGCCATAATTGTGTTCTTTGGTCTGGTCTAATTAATGTTATAATACATAAAATCTATCCTAAATTAATTTTTTTTTTGCAAATCTGCCATTTTATTTTTACATTTTGTATATGTTAACTAATCTGCCAATAACAAATTGTGTCTGTAAATATTGGTACAATTCAATTGGGGAAACTTGACAGTCGGGACAAGACACGTCTGTAGGAAAATGGACATAACAAAGTGATCAGTATTGCCCATTTTTAGTTGTTTACCTTAACAGACAAGCGTTTAATAATTTAAAAAAAAACAACACACCAGATTCATATTTAGTTACTATATATGTATATGATAAAATCACCACCATAAAGATATATGTATGTATATATAAATATAAATGTATTCTATATATAATTATAACATACGAAATATATTTGTTAGTACATTTGATAGATTCTTATATCTCACATAAAAATAACAGACAGACATGTCTTGCTTCAATTGTTTTCATTTAAAAGCAACACATTTCTTTTTGAATCTCAATACAATTGCAAATATTATAGTAAACAAGCACAATCTCACAACATTGATCTTTTCATTTTCAAACCAGACTGTAACTTAGGTCATCAAATATGGTTACCAAAGATTATAATATATCAATTTTCTTATCAACCAGTTTACCTGCATTAAATACTTAAGATTTGTATAAAAATATAATCATTCATATTTGAACAGATGATCGTGTTAAAATGACACTGTCCTCATAGATATGTTTCATAATTGTTTGTTGTTCTTGTTTAACATACTGTTACAGTCAAATGTCATGACAACAATTAGTCCTTGTTACATCTGACCATGACCTTCCCACAGTCACGTGTCTCTGCCTTTTTAAAAGCTTCAGCAACATTTTCCAAATCAAACCTATGTGTAACAAGGGGCTTAACGTCAATCTGGCCTGAAATTAATATCACAACAATATATACTGTTTTGTAATACATATCTGTTTTATTAGTTTATTTATATTTATTTGTCTAGTCATAACAGCATAAAACGTTTTTCAAAGGGGCGACACTGTTTAAGATGGGAAAGGAGACACTATTTCACATATATTAATTTTGAACAATTAAATGAACAATTACATGTTCAAAAAAATCTACAGTGCATTTTATTATTTGAAGAAAGATCCAATCTATCCTATTCAAGATTACAAGTAGAGTGTATTTACCGGAAGCAACAAGGTCCAGAGCCAATGGGGTACAATACGGGTTTGACCTAATCCCTAAAATATCGACCTCCCTAAAGGAGGCGTTAATCAACGGTATTGTGACATTTCCTTCCCCTAGTGCGATCTGCGAAACACGGCCACCATTTCTTGTAGACTTGAAGGGAAACAGAAAACAAAAAACATAGATGATACAAATAACACATGGATTCAACCGCTGTGCACATTGTCATCATGCAACAAATGACATGCATGTAAAATCGAAATATTGTCACATAATCTATGTACATCAACGTTGTCTTAAAATCTTTTTTTTAGCCAAATTATGATTAGGTCTTATCAAAAAACCATACTTTTGAGCTGGAAACTGCAAATACTAATAGTAATCATGCTTACTCGTCATTTAGTCAATTTTAAGGTTCATCACCATTTTTTGTGTATTTTATTATGAAAGTCCCTCGTTTTTCTATTCCTTTATATTTAGATCATCTTTAGTTTTGTGAATAAGTTAATTGCATAAACTTCCATATCTAAATTAAATAATCAGTCATAATACAATGTTCGAGATGCACATAACCGTCGGTGTACTGAAAAACGTTCAGTTAGTTCACATTAGATAATTTACCCTAATGGCTGATTGAATGGCAGTCGGTGCTCCACTGCACTCTATTGTCATGTGAGGCTTCTCTCCAAAACACTCCTCTACCATTTTTTCAATTTCCAATACTCCTTTTGAAGTAACGTCTAATGCGTAATCAGCTCCTAATTGCTTTGCCAGTTTTACACGAGTTTCATTAACATCTGTAATAATGTGATAAATGGTACACACATATAAAATAATACAAATTTTAGTCAAATAAAATAGAGAAATAGTGCACAAATACAGAGTACAACAATATTCATTGTTTGTTTGTTTGTTTCATTTTACGCCTTTCTCCAACAGTATTTCAGTCATATAGGCGGGTAGTTTCCTAACCAGCGGTCCTTGAGAGTAACACCAGAACTAGACTACCTTCCTCCGCCTTAAACTACCAAAGCATCTCCCGGGGATCGAACACACGCCAAAGAGGTAACTAGATTAGAAGTCATCGACTCTAACCCCTCAACCACGGAGGCGGTTACAATATTCATTAATAAAGGACTATTACTCTTTGAATCACATACACCTGCATATGTTATGTAAAGCAAGAATTACGAATTGATACATACTTATATATAGAAAAAGTATTTATTTATTTATTTATGTATTAGAGTCTCAATAACAAATATGTATAATTCAATCAATGTACAGTACAAGATAAAACAATGGCATACATACATACATGTACATTGTATATGAAACCAATCAAATATTTGATTTACTGGCGACTTATAAAATACTATACATTATCAAACACTATCACATACTTCCAAGACTTCTCAAGATATCACCATGATAAGGGACTAAGAGTTTACATAAGCACATACAAAATTTAAAATTTATATACCTCAAAGTTCATTCTAAATCATAACTTTGACAAGTTAAATATCTTGTCGAGTACTACCAATTTGTGTACAGAGCAACGTTCTATATTAAGCAGCCTATCAAACAAGTTTGTTTTCTAACTGAAAATATTATCTGTATTATATTTTATGAACACACAATCGACTAAATGTTTTCATTTTTGTTTAATGAAAAGTAGACAAACAAAAAACCTGTTACACAAATGTTTGAAGCACCAAGTGCTCTTGCTCCCTTCATGGACAGTAGTCCTATAGGACCTGAAAATAAAATAACATTCAATGTCTAATTTAATTAATCTGTAGATTAAAACATCATTCATTCATTCATTCATTCATTCATTCATTCATTCATTCATTCATTCATTCATTCATTCATTCATTCATTCATTTTCTGCTCTAGAGAAGGATGATAATATTTATCTTATCATAAGACCGTTCACTTCAAATATAATCTGCAATTTATACATGAAACGTTGTCAAGTTTGGTGCCCGTTACGTTACTGTGCTCAGGCGTGGATGAAGGAATTTTTTTACCTGTTACCTGAGGGTGTCGCAGAACTTTAATAAAAGAAAGCATATTTCACAGAGGGGATGACAATTATTTCTTTTCTAGAGGGGTTATGAGTCAAACTGTTTTAGTGATTTGTGCTAGCTTTTGCTTGAGTGTCACAAAGAAAACGTAAGCTGATTTCCAAATCTCAGAATGATAGATGTACCAGCCAAATCCCTGAGGGGGATCCTGCCTCTGAATCCGCGCTACCTGAATGACTTTGCATCAAGTCAAGCCAGTCTGCTGACTTATTTCAACCTTCTATATCATAAACGGGCTAAGGTAGTACACCCCTAATGGGAACTTTAAGGAACTGTAAAATTGACAACATAACTTACAAATGTTAATTGTTCCTATTCTTAATATTAAAACAGGGCAGATCCATCTGCAAACATGTCGTTAAAGTGATTCGATATGCATGTATTGTTATAAGGTTCTTTTGACACAATGATATACCTGCTCCAGTTATGAGAACATTGTTTCCAGCAGACACTCCAGCACGGCGGCACCCATGAAGGGCGACAGCAAGAGGCTCGAGCATAGCACCTTCCTCTGTGCTAAGGTGATCCGGTAACCTAAAAAAATCAACTTTATTGTATTAATTGGAATTAACATTTAACTTAACTGAATTTGACAAAAACTAGCTTCAAAAGCTAAATAACAATGTATTATTTAAATTAATCAAAATCATTTGATGAAACAAAAGCTGGGTTCTTTATTTCTTAAAAAGGTGATAAATAATATATATCAAACATAAAATTGACAATGTATTTATTATTTAAGTACATGCATTAAATTATAATGTACATTGCCCGTAACCACAGTATATTTTTGAAGTTAATCTCTTCATTCTCTTAAACAGATAGAAATACGACTTACCGAAAACAATGTTTAGCATTCTCGACGAAATATCTTGCCATGTAGCCCCAATGTCCAGGGAAACCACATATCGTTACTTTCTCACATAAATTGAACCGTCCCGTTTTACAGTCATAGCACCTTTCACAGCTGGACAATGGATCCATGGCAACCTTGTCGCCTATATGAATTTTATTTTTGCACGTGTTAGGAATAATTTTGTTTGAATGTATCAAAAAACGTAGAGAAATGCTCAAGGCATAAATACGAGAGGTCATCACACTGACGCAAAGCATAGAACATTAGTTTTGCTTTATCAGAATTCAAATTAATCTGACTTGTATTTTCTTTGTTTGCTGACAATATGTTCATTTATAGTTGTTCAAAAAAAACGTTTTATAAAACAGAAGTATGAACTGCAGAGATATTTACAGATGTTTTAAAATTATTCAAATTCATGCACTTGCCAAAATAAGATGAAGCTATACAATGAGCTTAAATGACACATCAATTGAAAAAAAGTAAATCGAGACAGAAAATTTGTTAAATGTTAAAAAGTAAATTTACGTACACAAAATGTAAAAAATATATTGATATTTTGATGAAACCCTAGTCTTTAAAGATAATACACCAGAACACATAAGCAATGCAGCAGAGGAAATGGACAATACAATAGAAAAGAAAAAAAAAAAAACGCAATGTAGATAACCTGTGATGAGTGATGCGACAGAACCAACTGATATTGGAAAATCGAACATACATAAATGGACAATAAGAATGATTATACAACAAACAAGTTAGCAATGCTGCAGGATAAAGTGGACAATACAATGGAACATATGTGCAACACAATACGAATAATGAACACGACAACAGAGTAAATTGTCAATGAAAATGGACATTGTGGATAATTCGAAACAGACAAGTTAGGCAACAGAACAAACGGCCAAAGTAACAGACATTAATGAGCTATGGGTGTGAACAAATGGATAGTGCAGACAAATGAAAAATTTGGCAGATTCAAAGAATATTGTAACACACTGAGCGTTATGCGCATTTATGCAAATAATGAGTGAAATGACATTGAAAATAAAATAAAATGAATGGTCGCAAATAAAACGAAACTAATGATAGACACTGTTATAACATGACAGTAATGTAAAAATTAAAAACGTGGATACATTTCCAATTATCATAGATTAAAAAGGTAATACACTACATAAAAGAGAAGGAATACATTACCAATCTTTAGGGAAGTGACTCCTTCACCTATCTTTGACACAATGCCCGCGCCCTCATGTCCTATACCATAGGGATCTTTACCTTCAAGACAGTCCGGGATTCCGTTATGATTCCAGAAACTTAAATCCGAACCACATATTCCAACATTTTCTACACGGATTTGTATTTCTGCAAAATTGTTTTAAACTTTTTATAGCCACAGAAGCTTGAAATTCTATCAATAATCGCTCTAAAGTTTGATTTAAAAACTCAATACCTATATATAAAAATGCATAGGTATGGATTTTTAAATCGGACTATATAGAATTTCAAGCTCTAAAGTCCGATAGAATTTCAAGGTTTGGATTTTTAATCGGACTTTAGAGCGATTATTATGATAGAATATCAAGCTCCTTTGATATAGCTTAAGCTTTATTATATCTATATTTTATATAAAATATTATCATGAAATAAAAGTCATCGCTTGGTAGCAAAACTCCACTAGCCCTATTTGCTAAAATGTTTTGTTGGACAGATGGAAAGAATTTGCATTCAAGCAGTTTCTCATTTTATTATGTTATCATCGTTATATATTTTTGTCTTTAAATTCTCTTAACTGCATGTTTCAAATGGTTGTATTTGTCATATTTGCATAGAGAAATCGGTTTATGTTGACATCTGTTGCATGGTGTATATAAATAGTACAAACGCATTGAAACATTCAATTCATAACTTTAATAGCAGTGCAAAAGAGAAAGAGAAAACGAGTTGTATTTTAATGGCCGTCAATATCTCCTTGATTTAATGATTTATAAAAAGTAAATAGAAATACAAACGTCCTTGGCCTGGCTCTGGTATCTGTTCTTCTCTCTAAATAGAAAAAATGACAGTCTGTTCAGTAATTCAAATTAACAACGCAGCTGGCCTAATTGGATCATTGTGTTAATTTGTTGTACCGATACGAATATATATGCATAACCTAATTATATCATATTTACTTTAATTGATTAAAATAAAATTAGACGATGGGATCGACAAAGTTAAAGCGACAAAGATTGACCTTGTCTTGTATTTGTGTCGACTTGCAGTTTATAGTACATCTTTGTATACAAAAAGAAGATTACAAGATGTTTTTAAATCAAACATATTTACTAAAAATGCATGAAACAACTTACTAAACGTATATTCTCTTTTCCATAAAACACTGCTCTTAAATTTCCTCCAGACATATCAAGAAGTCAAATTAATACGGTATTATACTAGAAAACCCGGAGTTAATGCACAGTTACATCTAATTCTCTATCTCACTATTCGTAATGCAAATATTATGCAGGTTAAATCTGTCATACTTGAGCATGCACTACGTAAAACTGGGGCATAATATTACGTCCTAGACGTTAAAAATGAAAACTATTTGTAACAAAAAAAAAAAAAAAAAAAAAAAAAAAATAAAATAAATTCTTATGCAATAAAAGTTTAAATAAATTTCTAATTTAAACAAATTAGTAAAGAATACAACATTTAATCATTCTTTATTCAAATTTAATCCCCGAGTTTATGGACTGCAATACAATTTCCGTGTGTATGGAATGAATAGCAAAAATGTGGTACAGTCAATGTGTGTCATTTATAAATGTACATGTATTTGGAGAATAACTGCATAAGAGTTGATATAAAAAAGTCAACTTAGATATAAAGAACATGTTGGCTATGCTGATGTAATATATTATTACCTGACATTACCCTTGATAAAATGACCGTTTTCAGCTATTAAAACGTCTGTAAACTTATCACCACTTTAACTGATTACATTTGCATACATATCAATCACTTACGGGCAACAAAATCTACATGCAACTTAAAATTAAACTTTAATGTTAATCGTTGCGTACCAGTGAGCTTGTACTTAATAAAAATGATTACATTTTGCAAATGTAGTCGTACGTTGATCAGATTAAAATGATTTTGTTTTACAGAATGTCATGCACAAATGCATTTTCGGTAGGGATATACGTCGCGCTAACACATTAGAGTCAAGGTCAAGCTTTTATAGTTCTATCACCCGCAGTGCGATATGATTTTTTTTATTATACCGAACACATCAATTTACCAAAAATAATCGCGAGATTCCCGGCATTTACTTTCATAAGCATCAAAAGAGGATGGTTCTTGGCATCAAGATATTTCGGATATTACTACTTCTGCTTATAATAAACAGCCAAGCCACACAAACATGCGGTGGCATAAAAGTGACACAAACACGAACATTCAGTAATTATTTATTTAGACTTGGACAGTCTTTTCATATTTAAACATATATTATTACATTAATAATTTATCATTATTTTTACCTCTGCTTATAACATTCTTGGAACAATGCATATGCTAAAGTTTGAATTAAAAAGAAAAGAAAAACGCTGAATCAAATTTATATAGCGAATTTAAGAAAGATTATTGAATATGCATATTTAGTGTGGGACTGTTGTTTTTTGTATGAACAAAACATACTTGAAAACATTGAATACTATGCCGCGCAAATTATGACTGATCTAACAAGGTCAGTATCTGTCGCGTACTTTCTTCATGAAATTGGTTGGGTATCACTTGCAGACAGAAGGAAAATGAAAAAAAAATTAGCCTAGTTTTGAAACTAAATCAAGGCGGGCTTCCCTGTTATCTGAGTAATACCTTTTCGGAAATAGTTCGTAATGATAGTACATATAATTTAAAGTGACATAATGTTCACCCAAGGGTATATAGTGAGTTTACAGGTGAAAGTTAAAATAAGTTTACATTTTGCCATAATTTCTTTCATTTTTAGAATTTTCTACACATAAGTATTAAGTGATGAAAAAACTCACAAGATTAAGGGAAATATCTGTAAATATTCATCGAATTTTACCTGTTATGTTCAATTTTATAAAAAAAGAGTAGGACCGTCTTTTCATATTTTAGGCAGATTAATATTTTATCATAAACATTTTCCAGTATCAACTGTCAATCACCATTATATTAATCAATCTTTTAAAATATGTAGTCAATTCAACTTAACTTGACAATGTAACAACGTAGCATAATGTCACTTAAAAAATGTATTACCCGACGTTTATAAATTTATTCAAAATCAGTTATACCATCTTCTATTAAATCATTGAACAGTTTAGATCTTGATACCCGAAATACTCCTACTCATTTCTCTTTCAAAACTAAATTTAAAGAAAAAGTTGCACCGCCTCAAATATGAAAAACAAAATCATTAACGAAGGGCGGCATTCAATGAACGCATCCCCTAACAAAGGACCACCGGCATCGAGCACAGCAGGACACCAAACAGCGCACGGGCAAAAAAACAACAAACCTAAAACGGACCAAAGGTGCTAGTGGCATTAAAATGTGTTTAACCTTGTTATTTATGCACTAAAACATCAATATATTAAAAAAAAAAAAATTTTTTTTTCACTGTTATATTATTACTGTCTATAATAATATAACAGTGAAAAATTTTTTTTTAATTTTTTTTTTTAATATATTGATGTTTTAGTGCATAAATAACAAGGTTCAACACATTTTAGGTCAAATCAATGCCACTAGCACCTTTGAAACGGACGGGGTGTCATTATAAATTATTCAAAATATGTAATCACAGAAACCTACGAGGGGTGTTCAAATATGAATGCAACTAGGCCAATATCTCGCTTTTAACGAACTATGTACATGGTTATGTAAGCTCACATGTGTAAATCAGTTCAGTCTAGCACTCGTGTATACTAAAGATAAAGTGGTTGGAAAAAGCTCTCCTTTCACTGACCAAATACGGTTGCTGTGTTCTTAGTGTAGCAGGGTCATATTTTCGTATGACAGTATTATGAAACGTGTCAGCTCTTTCCGGTGTTTTATTTCTTTAGGTTTTGATAAGTTCTTGCTGGTCTTTTATTTTCCTTGTTTTCTGTGTTGATCTCGCCCCCGAGTTTTTGGCTCGGGAATGTTCTGTTGGCGTCCCGAAGCGCCCGCGCTCTTTATGGAATGAGAATCAGATTTTGTGAAAGGGCGACAGCAAACTTCTCGAGCCTTTTTAGGTCCGGTCCCTAATTAAAGCCGAAAATTTCCGTTATCCGGTCATTGAGGGTGCCCTTGATTTATTAAAATAAGAATGAAATTGTCGCGATATGTCAATTGAATTTTCGCAATGCCCAAACATTACAAATGAAATAACTTTTCCGTCAATAAATCGCCTGCTCTTCGGGGTTTTTATTTATCATTTTTGTAGTACACAGTCGGGTTATTCATTCATGGTATTGTTATTGTTGTACATGTATCCTAGAATGATTCAGTTGATGACCTAAATTATTCCAAAAACCTATTTATAGATATATCTTTTTTATCACTCCTATCGGTAAATTGCCGTCTCTCCCGGTTCTATTTTTGACCAGGATTTACTAGTGACGGCGGGAATAGTACCACACGTTTATTGTCCGGTCTCTCCCGATTTTGGAGTAGATGTTTGATATTCGTTACAATTGGAAAAAAACAAACAAATAGCATGTTTCATTTTATCTATATGAGATAAAAAACAATAAATTATGTACACGGATTTATATGTAATATAAATCCGTGGGATATGTACAATAATTGAGAAAAAAAAAGTACATTTTTTATGGATTAAAATGACATTATCCCAACTTTTGAAACATTTTTATTTAATTATTCAATTTTGTTATCCGTGTTTAGTAAAGATTGCCGAGGAAATTTCAAAGTTACAAATTAGATTTATGGGAATTATTCAATTGGATCGATAATTTAAAAAAATGATAAAGAAAAAATACAATGTACATGTACATGGTTTAAGAATTAAACAATATTTATATAAATTGAAAGAATTTTAAACCATAATTTTACTGACCTTTTTTCCCAGTTAATTTCTTTTACTTATAATCGTCCGGTCAATAGACAATTTGAAATCTTAAAATAATTAAAAATTTACAATTTTAATAAAAAAGAGTTACGTAAAAACTCAGTATTAAAATAGCACATAAAACACCAAAAAGAATTAAAAGAAAACAATATTCATAAAAATTTGTAAATTTTTTTTAAATTTAAAATTAATAGATATTACAATTATTGTATTTAAAAAAAACAATTTTGTCAACATTGGGTCAACATGGTTTAAAATAAACCCGGGGGCATATTTTACCCAACTTAAAATGTGAACAATACCTTAAGGGGGTCTTCGCTAATAGCGAATAAAAATGTTTCATTAAAAAGGGGGGCAAATGGTTTTGGTTTTCGTGTTGATCATGCGTTACCCCATATTGGGGTTTTTAAATGATTGCATACATGTTATCCGTTGCTATTAAAAACCACGAAACATAAAAGAAAAACAAGTTTAATTTCTAAACTCTAGCTGCCAATCAAAGTTCATTAAAGAACAAAGTCTTTCCCCTTGGTTTCCCCCATTCATAAGTGGTATACAAATTTTTTGGTTTGTTTATAAAAAATATCTTTTTCATTTATATGTGTACTAGTTCATCTTCATTGGCCCGCATTTTTTTTGCTTTTGGACGCCCTTTTTGATGCTTTGCATCAATGCTTTTCTTGTGCGCAGGTTTTGAAAAAGAGTTTACGTGGTTGATGTAGAGGACCACTTCTTGTTAATTTTGGGAACTTGTTTATATGATTTACATTTGGTTGAGCTATCCAAGTGTTTGTGAGGAAGTATTTTAAGGTAGTTTTGGTGATGGCTGAAATGATTATTTATTATTCGGTTTTATTTTGCAATGTTGTATTTTTACAGCGCGTTGAATGTTCCAAAATGGCAGTCATTTACTTTCTTCTTTCAATTCTATATTTTTATAACCAGCATGTATTATTATGTTTTAATCTTGTTTCACAGTTAAAACCATTTCACGTGAGACAGGATGTATTGTGATTGTGAAGTGATATGATTTGTCATTGGTTTATTGTGGAATCAGGCTTAAGATCCCATAGATTTTTGAAGTTTTAAGAGTTTTGTTGGGTTTTTTACCTTTTTTAATAAAGTAAACATTATTTAAATTTAAAGTTTAAATTGGGAAAAACAAAGAGTTTCCCAAATTTCTTTTTTTCATTTTAGTGATCTTAAGTCTATAAATTAATTAAGATGTTATTTAAAAAGTTTCTTAATTTATTGTATAATTATATGTGCAAACTTGTTTTTATTATGTCATTTTAGTTTCCTTGATTAAAGAATTCAACAGAGAAATTATTGTATATTCGTCATGACATTTTATATTGACTGATATGTAAAATTGGGGAAAAAATAAAAAGAATTTAAACCAAAAATCTACCCTGTGTTTTAAAACCATTTTGTTACATTAGTTAAAAGGCGAAAAAACATTTTAAAGAAATTTTATTTGTTTCCTTTGGGGAACAATGAACTTTTTTTTATCTGTCACACGGTGGTGTAATAAATAAATAGTGTTGTGGATTCAGTGAAAATATGAACTTCATGCACGCCGTCCGAAAACTGCAACTTGACAAAAAATGGTTGAAAAAGTAAAGGATTTGATTGCTACTGATGCAAGATTTACAAATACGTATATAGCTAAATGCGTTGGTATCTCTGTAGGAGCCGCTCATACAATTCTCTGGCGTGATTTAAAAATGAGAAGGTTAAGTGCCAGATGAATACCCCATCTCCTTAAAAGAGGAAAAACTTTCTCGGGTAAGAATCTCCAAAACAATTGTTGAAATAGCTCCTTAAAAACAACAATCGATCTTTCGCAAAAATCATCATTAACGAGTAGACGTGGATTCACTTTTATGAGCCAAAGTGAAAGATACATAACAAAATATGGGCAACAAATGGAAGTCAAAGACCTTGCATTACAAAGCGCATCATGAGCGTCCAAAAGGTCATGTATGTATTTTTATACTAATCAAGGTCCTGCTATTCAAATTGCCGTACCAAAGGGTAAATCTGTAAATGCCAAGTTTTACAAAGGCAAGGTCCTTCATAAATAAAAGAAATATTTCAAAAACCGTCGACAAACCGTCGACCAGCAACTGGTCTCCGTGGTGCATGAAAATGTTTCGTCACACAAAGCGGCCATTGTACACAGGAAAAGGTTGTCGAGTTTCTTCACGCTCCTTATTCGCCAGATCTTATCCCATGTAACTTTTTCCTATTTCCGGGGCTAAAAAAACACTTTGCTACAGAAGAAAGAATCAAACGCGAAAAAATCTCGGTTCGGCTATTTTCCAAAGTCTGGACAGTATACTGGACACCTCGAAAAGATTATGAAAACGCATTTAAAATTGGATCAAAAGACTTAAACTTTGTATATCACATGGAGGCGCGTATTTTCAAGGATTGAGATAATTATTTTGGCACTGTTTGTTTAGTAATATGTACCATTATACTAGCGAATTTATACACATCTTTTTACTATTGTTGAGACTGTGTGGGAAGGGCCAACTCCCTAATTTTAAATCTTCAGTGATTTTAGGATTTCCTAAAATATAAGTCAACAGGGCTTTTATCAAGTTTGGATTCTTTGGTCTAATATTCGTTTAATTTAGGATAAAAAGTTATGACATGAAGTACGTCACTTCTTATTCAGGGAATGTTGTTTAATAAAAGATTAATACATTTTCCAAAGTGATTTAGGAGTCTTTCCTAAATAGAAAACTTACTAAAATTCAGTTTTTATGCTTTCTGCTCAATTTTAAATTATCGCGCCTTAGCAACTTAAGTGGGCGTTGTTGTTCAAAAATATAAGGATTGTCGCTCTATTTATAACATTTGAGCCGTTAAGGATTCCCGACCAATCAGATTGCACTTAAGATTTATCTAAGCCAATCAGAATCGGTTAGGAATTCCCACCCTAGAATGAGTAAACAGAATACAGAGTAAACATATAAAGCTGTAAGTAATCATTATGTTGAGAAATAATACATTTTAATTAAATAGTAATGGTAATTTAGCAGGATTATTACAATTTAAAGAGAATTAGGGTGATTCCACAACCTAACTTATATCCAGTAGGCCCTATTTCACATAAAATACGGCTTTTAAATTGGCTCTAGACATAATTAGAGGTGTAAATATTATAATGTTATTATACGAGATATAGTGTTATAAAAAACATTGGTTTATCTCTATCTCACAAATCATGCATCAAACATTTCATTTGATATATACCGCAATTATCGTGTAAGTTTATTTGGAAGATTGTAAATTTTGTATTCTAATCTTTGCATTTCAATAAATATGTACTCTATACAAAATTATAAAATATTGTAAATGCAATCGTATGTTTCAAAATTAGTAAAACTTATCAATATTTTATCTTACGTTTAGTTTGATTCCCGCTTTCAAAAAGAAAAAAAACACGGAGAGATTCCTAGACAAGAAATTTTTCTGGCAAATTGATTTTATTGAGTCTATATCATGAGAGATAGTTACATTACCTTCTAGCAAAGGGTCTTTAATTATAAATATGAGAGTAATCTCCCCTCTTATTATCCCACCCAAAAGAAAAGAAATTAATAAAACTATACGTACACAATATATAGAAATTGGTGTTGGTAAAAAAAACTACGTCATGACGGTATATTTGGTCTTGATTGGCAATAGTATATCGTTGCTATTGGAAGGAAACTACAAAGAGGCAAAAGAAAGAAACATTGATACATTGCAAATGGTCTTTCTATTTTTAATGAACAAATATATATACATACATGTTTATTAAATGTGACCGTATAATACTGAATAACAATAAGTACATAGTACATAAACATGCATGTTTTAATATGCAATGAAGTTTATCATATATTTTCTGTTATGTTGAAAATAAATCAGTGAATATATCTACCGCCATGTCGGAAGGAGACCATGTTACCAGAAATACTAATAGGCATGTTATAAAAACGAGCTTATAGGTCCTAGGTAATTCAATGTCAGAAGAAACAAACCCGATAAAAAAATAACATTTAAAATAGTATGCGAGTATATAATAAAATAAGCATTCGAACAAAATTGGCTAAAACATTTATAAAATATATGTACATAAAATTAAACAATTTAAGTCAGTAATGAAAATGATACAAATAGAAAAAAACAGGCCCTACTGAAATCTCTTATCAATATGTATTTACAGTATATGTTCGAAGACACCTTATAAATCTACGGTTTTTAATTCTTGCTACATCTGATCATGACCTTTCCGCAATCACGTGACTGTGCCTTTTCGAAAGCTTCAGTGACATTTTCCAAATCAAATCTATGCGTGACAAGAGGTTTAATGTCCATTTGACCTGGAATTGAAAGTAAATCAATTAAAGTAAGGTAATTCGATGGACCTATATCTAGATAATATCTATTTTTCATATTTTTGAGTTGACATTCTCAATTCCCTTTTTTAGTTACAGTTATTGTAGAGTCTGAGATGAAACTGGCTACTATTCAAATAAGATGAGAAAACCTGATGTGCGTGTTTGTTGTTTTTGGCCCTGTGTAAATGACGAAGACATGTCATTATTCCTAACAAACACACATTTTTTGTTAGTTTCAGAGCAGATGACTTCGATGTATACTTATTAAAGTACTAAGTGTACAATTTGTAGATTTGGATCAGCATTGTATTCATTCTGGTGTTAATTCCAAAGACAGTATCATATAAATTCTAGTAAATAATGCATTTCTCTTATCTCTTCACTTAGAAAACGATATAAAATTTCAAATATATCTAGAACTTGACATTTTATTTTGTATGCCGTTTCCATAAAAGTTATATGACTTGTAATATCACTGTCCGATATAATTTAAAAACAAAAGTGGGGACTTCATAAGTATCACCGTATAACTGCATAATATATAAGGTGATTTTTTATATTTTTTTTATACATTTTTATTTTTGAATTATGAATGAGTATAAATGCTGTAAGATATGACTTACCAGATGATACAAGGTCAATTGCCAGTGGTGTGCAATATAGGTATGCCCGAACACCTAATATATCCACTTCCCTAAATGATGCGTTAATAATTGGTACAGTAACATTTGCTTCTCCGAGCCCAACCTGTGCCACACGACCACCACTCTTTGTAGACTAAAATTTAATAGGAAACACCCCTTTTAACAAACATTGCAGAGACATAACCTTATATTTCTTCATTCCTTGAGTTTATTCAGAAACGATAATTGTTGGTCGATATGGCAGACTAATTCAAAGAGGCATGCAAATAATATAATTTGATATACCGAAGGACTGGGTGAACATCTTAAAACGTTGAACGATATAAAATGGTCAAGACATTGAGCAACTTATTCATCCGATTGTTTCTTCTTTTCATAAAAAAACAACTTACTTATTGCATATTTAATTTACAAAACATTATCCTTTGCCATTTGAAAAAAGTGATGTTTATAAAAGATTGCTGTACTAAAGGGCTGCAAGTGAAACAAACACAACAACTCACTCGTATGGCTGCCCTTATAGCACTTGGTGAACCACTACATTCTATAGCAACGTGTGGTTTCTCACCAAAACACTCCTCTACCATTTTTTCAATTTCCTCTGGTTCTTTTGATCTCACGTCTAGTGCATAATCAGCCCCTAACTGCTTTGCCAGTTTAATACGAGATTCAAGCACATCTGTCAAACAAAAATTTACAATCTAATCAAACCATGAAAACATGAAATAACTTGCAAGTTAAACCATTACCACAACAGGAATAAAAAAAGATACCGCGTGTGATATCATAGGCGTTTAGGTTGTGAATCTTTGTGTCAAATTATGTTTATTTTCCACATCTCGAATTTTTTCTTAAATTCCATTATATTTATAGAAATTTCGTAATAATGACAAATATCATTTTTAGAAATTTCCATATAAACATGTTCTTCAGCAGAAACGTCATGTAGAATTTTATATAATACACTGTATAAATAAAAAATTGATAAGATAACCTGTAACACAAATGTTTGTAGCTCCAAACACCCTGGCAGCCATCATTGACAGTAAACCCATGGGTCCTATAAATCAAATATCATTTTACTAAGTTATTATATTATAATTTATATATTTATATAAAATTCATTAACCCAAAACAACTATAACAAAATATTAATTTGGTACTAATATTTCCTCTCATAACTTAACAAATAGTCTAACAGTCAAGCCTTTTATCCCTTTACATAATTGTTTTATACATGAACCAATAAAGGGTACAAACTTGGCACGCACTTTTTTAAAAAGTTCCTCCCCCCTCCTTCAAAGCACCCAAACAATCCAAAGTTTTGTTTACTCATCTCATCAATTCACTTAATTTAAACATCGTTAATTATTATAGTATAAATTATAACTGTACCTGCTCCAGTAATGAGAACATTGTTTCCAGCAGACACTCCAACACGGCGGCATCCATGCAGGGCGACAGCAAGAGGTTCGAGCATAGCGCCTTCCTCTGTACTAATGTGGTCTGGCAACCTGGAAAATATTAGGTTTAAGTTGATAAAATTAATTGCGTTACTTCAACGTATTCTCAATGACACTCATAGGCAGTTATGCATTAGAAAATGTAGCATGCACTTTGTAATAAAGACATCTATTCTCTTGAAAGTGTCACTTACCGGAAACAGTGCTTAACATTCTCAACACAATATCGTGCCATGTAACCCCAATGTCCAGGAAAACCATGTATCGCTGCCTTCTCACATAAATTGAACTTTCCTTCTCTACAATCAGAGCACGTTTCACAATAGGAAAATGGATCCATGGCAACTTTGTCACCTATAAATTTCAATTATTTGTATAGTTAGTATTTTCATTTTGCTGTACAGAAGGTACATGTATACTGAAAATAACAAAAAATCTAAAAGCGGATGGTTATTGCTTAGTGGTTACATTACCACCGATTTTGTACAAGAATGATGTAAAATAAAGTTTCTTTCCTTGCCTGATGCCTAAGAAGATATAAAAAGTTTTTAAATAAATTCATTTAAAGTATAAGTGAATAAATATGCTTATAATGATAGTAAAGCTAAATAAATAGGGTTCAGTTTACCGATCTTTAGAGAAGTGACACCTTCACCTAGCTTTGACACAATGCCTGCGCCCTCATGTCCTAAACCATAGGGATCCTTACTTTCAATACATTCCGGAATTCCGTTATGATTCCAGAAACTAAGATCCGAACCACATATTCCAACATTTTCTACACGGATTTGTACCTCTGCAAGAATATTTAAATGATCTCTACAGGTTCAAGAAATCAATGTCTTTCAATTTGATGTATATAACGCAGCCATATTTAACAAGAATGAAATCAAATCAAAATTCTAATCAAAACTTTTAAAATAGACCAAAAATGGTCAGATGCCGTAGAATGAAATATATGAGTTATTTGAGTAAATAAGAGCAACTATCAACTAAATACAATGATAATGGTTTCAGACTTTTGATCCAAATGGTACGTTTTTCGATTCCGTATTGACAGATTTGTTCAAATAGAAATACCAACCTCCAGGGCCTGGTTCTGGTATTTTTTCGACTTGCTGAAAAAGTAAAATAAAAGTATATTTTCACATATGAAAAATATAATATAGCTATTTCATATATATATGTTTATGTTTACAAAGAAGAATAATGCAAAACCAAAGGTTTTGTCTTTAGGGTAAGATTAAAACTGAAGTTCAGTTAATCTTTTAAAACAGATATATGAAGAAAGTGTTAAATGTCATGAGCAATTAGTAATTTAAAAAAATCTTTACTGCTTCAATTTTCAAAATATCTTTGACTTCTGCAACATTATTTGTAGAAACAGTGTCTTCCTAAAATTAACTGTTAAAAAGCATTCATGCGGACTGTTTATAGCACATTTTCCTCAGGATAAAGCTTTAAAAGACCAGACTACTTATCTGAACAGAACCATGTGAATGTGAATATGCAAATGTAAGATTTTATTCCCCCATTAACTGTAACCAGAAACTCTTCCTAGTCATATCCTGTCTTCTTTCTTTATCTATCGCTTGGAATTATTAAAAGCTGACAGCATTTCACTAAAACACCTACTATCTAATAAAGATTTCTTTGAAAGCATACAACATGTTTTTAAACCTAAAATTTACCCATTTCTTTCAAATTAAGACTGTCTTTATGATAAAAAGAAGGTGCGAAATATTGTTGAATTTGCTCAATTGATAGAGTCAAAGTCCTTGTCTTCAATTCTTAACGATGTATAAGCCGTTATTATACTCATGTACGGCATTTGTAAGAACGAATAACACAATGGGCCGTGTTTGTTTCCGCTTGTTTCGTTCTCGACTATAAACGTCAGTTGTATAGACATGATTCGGGGGATTCAAGGAAGAGGAAGATGAAAATCTTGATAGCGTTATGCGCAAATTCTTTGTGGATAATTTAAAAGTGGCACAGAGTATTGTTGATTCTATGAAAATAGAGCGAGTACATAGATTAGGCCAAGTTAAGGGTAATACAACGGAGCCTCGCAAAGTTGTCTGCAGATTCGCTTATTTCTCAGACCGTGAAATAGTTAGATGACAAAACAAACTTTTAGATCACACGGATTATTTTTTGCACGAGCAATTCCCTCCTGAAATTGTCGCTAGACGCCGTAAACTGTTACCGAAGTTGAAAGCTGCTATAAAGGATAAGAAGAAAGCCTGGTTTGTTTACGACACCCTTTACATAGACGGAACCCCAGTCAAGTACGAATAGGATTTATTGGAGGATGAACTTAGTATTCTAGTATGGAATTTAAATGGTTTAACTGACACAAAACGTTCTGATAAAGATTTTCTTTCCATTTTAACTGATAATGATAATATTGTTTTAAGTGAAACATGGACCGATAAAAATTCAAATGTGTCTATAGAAGGCTATCGTTGCTATAATTTATATCGAAAGTTCAAACATAAAAGGGCAAGACGTAATAGTGGTGGAATGTCAATTTACGTACGTGAATGCCTCAATCAAGGTGTATCTATAGTTAAGAATAATTTTGACACTATTGTCTGGCTTAAATTTGATTGTGATTTTTTCAATTTTGATAAGGATGTTTATTTTTGTTGTTTATATTTATGGCCGGATGAATCTCCTGCTGCAAATGTTATAGACGTTAACCTTTTTGATGTCATAGAACAAGATGTCTTTAATTTTGAACAATCGGGTCGAGTATATGTAGCAGGTGATTGGAACTGTCGTATTGGTAACAAACCTGACTATATTGTTTGTGACAAAAATATTAGAAATTATGATCCGGACTTTTATGTTTCCGATAATCACCTTGTTAGGGCCTCGCTTGATAATTTGTCCAATACACGCGGTCACAAAATGCTTGAATTGTGTAAGGCAACCGGTTTGCGGGTAGCTAACGGGAGATTAGGCCAGTTAGATAATTATTGTGGTTTTACCTATTATAGCCGAGGCGCGCATAGTGTAATTGATTATTTACTTCTAAAAGAGCCCGATTTTGATACGCTTAGTATGTTCGAAATTTGCCCCTTTAATATATTTAGTGATCATGCTGCCTTGAGATTAAGTATGCGAGCGATTAAACCATTAACGGAGGATATTGTTAATAACAACGAATCTCGCGTTCACACAGTTTACAAATGGAACACGGAACACAAAGAAATCTTTCGGCGCGGCCTTATAGCTAAATTACCCGATTTCAATAATCCTTATTGTAAGTGCGGATTGTAGTGATTTAAATAGAATAGATTACACAGTGGATATGTTTACAAACATCATTTCGGAAGTTGCGTCGCCTCTGTTCAAACGTGAATATAAAAATAAAGTACCCTCCCAAGCAAATCTAAATATATGGTATGATAAGGAATGTGTAGACCATAAGATACTTTATAAACGCGCGTTGCACAATTAAAACAGTAACCAGTCCGAAATAAATAGAATTGAACTTTGCAAACAGCGCAAAACGTATAAATATATAGTGCGCAAGAAAAAACGCGCTTACAAATTGAAAGAAGGTAGGAAGCTTTCGGAGTTAAGAAAAAGTAAACCGCGTGAGTTTTGGAAATATTTTAAATCTAATAATCAGTCATGTCAAAATGATATAACAGTAGAGCATTTTAAAAATTATTTTTCAGATTTGTTTAATAATATTCCGACAACTGTTATAAATGAGGTTGAAAATTTTAACGATAATAATGATTTAAATTTACATGATCCTACATACGGTGAGCTTAACTTACCTATCACACTAGGGGAGGTAACCGCTGCAGTCAAGCGACTCGGCCGAAACAAATCGCCATGTCCCAGTGACAATATTTTAAATGAATACTTAATCGAATCGATTGATATCATTGGAGGCCATCTAACAGATCTTTTTAATATTGTTTTTAATTCAGGTTATTTCCCAGATATATGGGCACAAGATTATATAATACCGATCCACAAAAAGGGAAGTAAAAATGACCCTAACAACTATAGGGGCATTACACTTTTGAGTAACCTTGGAAAATTATTCACTGGTGTGTTAACAGCTAGGGTTGAGAAATGGTTCGAAAGTTATAATATTCTATCTGACGCCCAGTTCGGTTTCAGAAAGGGTCACAGCACTGTAGATGCTATATTTGCATTACATAACCTCATAGAACATGTTATTTCGCAAGGGTCACGTTTGCCATGTGCATTTGTAGATCTACAAAAGGCTTTTGACTCCGTTTATCGACAGGCACTGTGGTTTAAATTGTATCATCTTGGGTTGGATGGAAAACTTTTAAAAATGTTTAGGTCTATGTATAATATAGTTAAGTCTTGTGTTAAACATTCTGATTCCTATTCTGACTTTTTCAATATTTCCATTGGATTGAGGCAAGGCCTAAATAATTCGCCAGTCATGTTTGCCCTTTTTCTTGAAGACTTGGAACTTTTCCTGCAAGGATCCATTAAATCAGGTTTATCTATTTATGATATGTGCCTTATCATACTGCTATTCGCCGATGATATGGCAATTATTGGCCATTCTGTTGAAGATTTGCAGGCCAGTTTAGACAAATTATACGAGTACTGCCAGTACTGGGGCCTACAAGTCAACACATCTAAGACCAAGATAGTGGTGTTTCGTCGTAGGGGTGGGCTAAAATGTAATGAGCGCTGGCATTTCAATAATGTGCCTCTAGAAATAGTTAATGACTTCAACTACCTAGGGGTGGTGTTTAATTATACCGGCTCATTCGTATTAAATAACCAGTACATAGTCGGAAAGGCCTTAAAAGCCTCAAATATACTGCTAAATAATATAAAACAATATGAACTTAGCCCTTCGATATCGCTTCAATTGTTTGATGCTTTTGTGGGATCTATCTTAAACTATGCCTGCCCGGTTTGGGGCTTCACTAAGTCCAAAGAGTTAGAACGTGTACATCTCAAATACTGTAAAACGATTTTGGGCGTTAAATTAAGTACAAGTAACGTATCGGTCTACGGGGAATTAGGGAGGTATCCGTTATTTATCATTAGGTACACACATATAATAAAGTATTGGTTTAAATTACTGAATACGGATAACATTATATTAAAATGCATTTACGAAAATGCCAGTGACAAATGTGAAAATGGCACAAATAACTGGCCATGTAAAATTAAAAAACTGCTTGCGGTACTTGGTTTTGCCGAAATATGGAATTTCCCGATAGTGTATTGTTAAAACAGTTCTTACCTGTTTTTAAACAAAGACTTATCGATTGTTATTTACAAGAATGGCGTGCAGATGTATCTAGTAATGGTGTGCTCAGTCATCTATATTCATATGTAAAAGATCAGTTCTGTTATGAATTATATTTAGATAAGATTAATTGTAAATCTTTTAGAAGCGCTCTTACACGCCTTCGAGTGTCCTCTCACAGACTTAGAATTGAGTCCGGAAGGTATGGTCGAGGCCGTGTAGAACGCCACGAAAGAACTTGTCAATTCTGTGATACTAACGAACTCGAAGACGAATATCATTTTGTTTTAAAATGCAGTGCTTATGAAAATCTACGTAGTCAATACATTAAGCGATATTTTTACATTAGGCCTAGTATGGCCAAATTTATAGAACTACTACAATCTAAAAGTCATAAAGTACTTACAAACTTATGTTATTATTTAAAAAAGGCAAACATCAAACGAAATGATTACTTCAGAAATCTTCAATAGTATTATGATGCAGTTTTGATTATATATACCTTGATGTTTTTTCAGTATATTATTATATAAATAATTTATCAAACAAATTCGATTAAAAGCGAAGTTATAGTTTGTTCTCCGCTTAAATTTAGTACTCTTCATTATTCATTTACAGAAGTAATTTAAAAAAATGGATATATAATTGATAAATGGAGTTTTGTCAGTGTATGTAATGTATCACATTGTATGTATTAAATATCCCATTGCTCAGTATTGTATTGATTTGTTTTTTCTTTATGTGTAATTGTAAAATATGTGACCTATAATTATATTTAAAAATGTTTGTAATAACGATGTACCTATGTGTGTACAAGTTATGAAATAAACTCTGTTCTGTTCTGTTCTGTTCATGATGATATTTGTATTTACTTTTGTAAGATATAGCCTTTATACATTCAAGGACTAACTTAACTGTCCATGTAACAAATACAAAAATTTGAGGTAAAAAAAAAATACAACATATCAAATATCCTCGGGGCAAGAATGATATATATGTAAATCTCTGGTTAACTGAGGTCAACGTTTTGGTTTGAGAAGTACAATCATAATGCGGTCGAAAAATCTAGGCTAAAAGTTTTAAACTTAATTATGTATGTCTTGTTTAAATAGTTTCTCGTTTTTTAGTTTGTTTGTTTCTTTGTTTTTTTTGTGTTTTTTTTTTAAATAAATAACAAAATCTAACATAATAATTGAAAGCTTGATATGGAGATAAAGCTCGCTATCTATGTTAAATGTCCATAAGATGTACTTTGTTCGCTCCGAAGATCTACTTGAAATTATAACAATAATTATACACCCAACAAAGATTAAGGGTTGGTATTGTCCATTATTTTTGTATAAAAACTTCGTTCACAGGGAATAAAACATGCATTGCCAGATAACATTACGCGTGTCTGCGCCGTTGCTGTACATTTTAATATAAGTTTTGGCGCCACGTAAAATAGCTTCTTGAAAAGACGGACCCAGTAATTTCATTATCAAACCATTACTGTTAAATAACATCGCACTAGCACATAAAAAGCACGACGAAGCCGATTTCTTTTAGGAAATTAGACAACGAAACGCGACATTACCGAAGCATACATTTCCTTTTATGCAAGAATAGTGCAAATGCATCTTTTTCGAGCATTCATCTGCAGAAACCATCGGCCTCATTTTATCATTTGCCCTGTGGGCTCGGGCTTTAAATGCGCCCATGCAGATGACATGCACGAAAAATGATGCATTTACCCTCTATTGTTGGTAAGTTCACATTGAAAGAAATTATAGTCTGTACGTTGTTGTATGCAAAAAATTCTAAACTAGATATTTTTAGAAATAAATTGCTTTTGTCTAAATCAAACCAACTTACCAAGCGGACATCTTCTATTCCATGAAATACAGCTGTTAAATTTGCCTCAGTCATTATATTTTAGAATTGATAAAACATAAAAAAATCTAATTGTGTTACACCAGAACAACACGAAGTAAGTTTTACTAATGTTGCGCGCTCTAAAGCTCCGCCAAGTATAAACGTAATAAAAAGTTAAACTACCGTTTAAGTACGAAAAGTTTATAGGGTTTAACAGAAATGGTGTTAACTTGCATTTATTTTGAAGAAGAAAAAATGTAAAATTGACCTTGAGTATTTGACGTGTAACGTCGTCAATCCGTGGCGAATATGTGATGGTGATTCAATTATGATATTTGTTAACTGTATTTCACAATACTTTACAATTATGTCTGTATTATGTACTCGGTCTAACGATGTAAAAAATGTGTTCATCAACCCAAAACTTGTGTGTTCAAGAACAAACTTTACAAATATCCCAGTATAATAATTATAGTCTTTGTTCCTGACTGCTTTATTGTAATGTTTTGATATAGTTCCATATCAAAAGCAAGACCGTGAAAATGTCTTCCACAAGAGCTAGCTCGGTTATAATAAAGGTGCAGTCTGAGGAAGGAAAACTAGGGGGATGCCTTTTGCTTTGGAGTATCGTATCATAGTTGCATTTTGGTGAGTTTAGATTCACACACAAATATGTTTAGGCGATTGTTAGAAATTGTAGGAAATAATTAGTAAATAATAGTCTTCTTTTCGCTTACCTTAAACATTCTACGGTCTACAGGCATATAGAAAGGTTCACTAATTTAAGGCCTCAACAGACGGTAGGATTTAGTTGTACAGCACTAATTAGAGATAAGATGTACAATTTTCAAAGCTATACAACACTTGCATTCAGACGGCAATTCTATACTGTAAGAATCTTCTGAGGTTTCCCCTGAAAAGGATCCCTTTACATTGATCCTTTACATACTTTACTCACTTAATACTTTTTTTCGCCATGATGATTGAAAACACCTCCATTAAAAATATATATAAATATATATATTTTTTTAATGTGAAGCCTGATCGAGACTCAAACCTGGGACCCTCGGAATACCGTACTGCGGCTCTACTGACTTAGCTATGTGGCCGCCTACAAACTACCTCCCCTCCCCAAATTCATGTAATTACAGAACAACTCAATACCGTGACATAATCATTTTCGGAATAATTTGGGATTCGAACACAACACAACTTTGGGTCTCCTGAAGAGTTTTTCAACATCATTTTACCCCATCTTACTACTATGTTTACCTTTTAGCCCTAATTGTTCTGGAATTTCATTCATTACATCCATTATCAGGAGATAATTTGCTTATCTGTTACTTGTCATTGTGGGAGGTCTGTAAAAATCGATACGACAAGATTTTCAAAATAGAACATGTCCTATCCCTTACATCTCGACATAAGGTTTCCGAAATCAAGAAATTGTAGCCTTCACACATTAAGATTTGTCTGTACATCTTAGTTTTAATTGGTGTTGTACTTCAAAATCCTACCGTCTGTTGAGGCCTTAAGGCCCATGAACAGAATTACGCGACACACAAAACAAGTCTCTTATTTTCACATGTTTAGTTTTGTCTTCATTGCCCTTGAAGGATCTCGCTTTTTCTAAATTTCATTTTCTAAATAGATTTAACAAATTTAACGGGGTAAATGTAAATTGTGACTGGTTTTCAATGCAAGTACAAGTATGGAATGTACACGCTGCTTATGATGAATTCTAATTAGTTGGATTTATGTTTCGTGTTATTTCCTTTTTGCATTTGTTTATGGTTAATTTCGCGTAATTAAGACTTTCTGATATTTCTTTTTTTAACAAAAGCACGACACTGTTACTGAATCAACATGAAAGTGTGGTAAGGATTCTATAATAATATTCTTATGATAAAAAAACGCATTGAATAGACGCAATATGGTAAATGATATACATGTAATCCGTCTTAAAGGCCAGTTATGCTCAATAAATGTTGTGGTTTTTATTACTCAAATTTCTTTTTCTTGGTGTCCTGTTTCAGTTACATGTACTTTTTTGGCCAATTTCCTGAACTGTCTTTTGTCTCTGATGCTTTTTGTCAATTAGTACAGTTATATGACATTTTTATTTTGTATAGAAGTAAAAGTAAAAGTAAAAAAACATCTTTGTTCAGATTTTGCTTCTTTCATGACAAATAATTCCAAATCCAGCCTTACTTTCTTTAGATGATAAACATTTAACTCTGAAGCAATTATTTAGAAATTATAAAACAGACGTTTGCCCTTTCTAAAAAAAGAAGAAAACTTGATTTGTTTTGTGGCTAATCAAATGTACACGCTGACTATATCTCAGTTAAAGGTATGTTTAAGGTTTAAGAAACATAAGTATATTTCATGTGTTATAATTATGATAGTCGTATACACTGATGATATCCGTCACGTCCTATAAATCTGAACAAAAACCACATCCTCATATGTAACCTTCAGTCGTTTTACAGGTAACAACTAACACAAAAATACATAAATCTATGGAACGCCAAAGGAACATGAACTCAAATACTAGTAGTTTAACCACAATTGTTTATTTCAAAATTTAATTTGATTTAAATACTCAAACGTGCAAATGAATAAAAAATGTTCAAATATATAGTTATTTTGGCAACCCGTATAAAGAACAAGTAACGATAAACATAAGGCCAAAATATTTAATATTTTACCATAAGTACATTTCATTTTTATGTTTATTTTTATTTTTATGTTTATTACATATTTATCCAAAATATATAGATCTACAAAACATAACAAAAAAAAAGAAAGGAGGATATATAAAAAAAAAGAAAAAGTGAAAGGATTAAAATTAAATCACATCTTAACCAATTCAGTATAGCATGATAAAATTATTTCATACATTCTAAAATAATAATTTTCATGACAGTTGCAACATACGGTACATAAGAAACGACAATGACATAAACAAATACAAGAGGTATCTTTTAAAAAAAGATACTCACTAAAGGTTTAAAGTAGATTAATTTTTTTTGAGAACCTCTAAATCAAAATTTTCGTTTTTCTAACAGGTTTTACTTATTAAAAAAAAATTCATAAAATTTCTTAATGTAATTTAAAAAGTTACAATAAAATAACAGTTCCGCTTTTACATAATATTTTAACTAAAAGAAAACCCAATTTTTTGTTATCAAAGTCTAATTTTATTACAAACGACTAATTTCATGCATTTTTTGCCTCGCCATCTTAAAAAGCCTCGTTAAACCCTTTCCCAAAGGAAAACCCGGGTTAACCAAAGATTTTCACTGACCGACCTGCAACAAGCAAACGTTTTTTTTTTACAAATAACCAAATATAATATAAGAATATATACCCATCCCCTCCTCTGTTCAAATATTTGAATCAAAACATTCATTGATATATATTATATAATAAACTTCAGGACAAGAAAGGTGACTTGTTAAAATGTCGTATAACATGTAGCTATAACAAAGGCTATAACAAAGGCTTCGCTGCAAATCGTTGAAGGTGAGTCCTTGAACACAGCATGTTTATTGTTGATGAATATGTCATTATCACATACTAGTAAGTTGAATTTATGCATGTTTATAAATGTATAAATCACATAGTAAATGCAAACAGAGAAAAAAGCTCATATTTTAATGCTTTGCAATTGGAAAAAGAATATACAAATGTATTGTCTACCTGAGGCTATCATTTCACGTGCTATTGGGTAACAATGTGCATTCACGGACACTCCACGGATATCAACTTCTCTTAAGCCAGCGTTTATTATTGGTAATGTAACAACATTTTCTCTCAGTCCACTGATTGTAACGTTGCCGCCATTGCCGGTTGCCTAGAAAAAGAAACTATATCTATAGTTGATAGTTCAAGAAGACAGGATTGTTAAATAACTGAGTAGTATTAAATCTGTTTTTCTACTCTAACTAAGAAATAGAATATAAGGCTTGCGAGCACATTTTGAATACTGTAGTAGGTTTAGTACCAGTATGCTTAGAATTTAGTACAAACTTAATGCGCTATATGTGTAAATTCAAGACACTACTCCTGATTTATCTGACAGACAGACAATCGTATGTTTATTGGGAAATGTTGCTTTTTTATTATTTATGATATATGTATAAATACCAGGTATTTATAAAATAATGAATTAACAGCCTGAAAGTTATTTTGACAAAAGTACCTATGCACATTTTCTTTTAAACTTACATAGATAGCAGCCTGGATACTGCTCTGGAATCCAGTGCTATCTATAGACATGTCAGCTTTGCCACCCAATGCATCTATAACCATCTTTGCAACTTCTTTTGGGTCCTTGACCGATGACACATTCAGTGCGAAATTTGCTCCTGCTTTCTTTGCAATGTTCAGGCGGTAATCATGTTTACCTATAAAGCAGTGGTATATAAGTTAAATGATATTGTCATACTTAAGTTACATTTACATTCTCAAATATACTTAACATACATACATAAATATTATCTTTCAGCAATTATTTATTTGATAAAACTGATATGAACACAATAAGCAAACGGCTTTACATTACACCATACGATCTATTGCAAGTTAAATAAATCAAAGCTTGGGGGCAATAAAGTTGTTTCAACCATCAAAACCATTTGTATTAAATCTATTTAATTAGCATGCTTTTCATACAGATACTTCTTCTATTAACAATTGTTCAGAATGCCAAATGGCTCTAGCACTTTAAAACAAAAATATTTCACATGTTATTTTTTTTGAAAATGTTCTTAATGCAATGATTTTTCTTGATTTCTTTAAATACGTTTTAATTGTGTGCTTAACGTGCTACTTGATTTGTGCATTGTTGTTTCATTTTTTTTCC